TTCACGGAGTGAAGCCGTATTGCTGTTGCCGGAGAGCCCTGACTTTTTCCTGTGGACAATTCGATTTTAAAACAACTACCCGTGAGTAGAACGGAAAATTGGATTTTTAAACGTCTTAATTTGGTACCGAAACGGGGAGGTTTCAAACAGGAAGTCCGTCTTCCCCTTTTGTAAATAGACTGGAGCAAAAAGGTTGCAAGCTAAAGTCTTGGAAAGCTTTTCATAAAGGATTAAACTTCCATCGGCTAAAATCATCAAACCCGCCTTGGAAGCAGGAGGAGAGGGGGGAATTCTTTTTAGACCGCGTAAGCCTGGAGGAGAGAGTGAAGAAAGTCAAATTACCACCGCTCTGAACCTGGAAACGGGCTGCTAGTAGGACTGAAGTTTTGGATATGTTCATTGACTGTGAATAGATCGTTTGTTGACAGTAAGTTAAAGAAGAGAAATACATTGTTTCCATTGTCTCCTTCTGCATTTAAAAAGGAGTAAATGTAATTGAAAATTGAAACTAACTCTATTGTTTGAATTGTGCTTAAAAGGATTGATACAAATAGAAATTGTTTCCCCCTAGAGGAAGCCTTTGAAATTGTTACATGAGTTGAGTGGGGAATTTCCTGCTGTAAGACAAGACCGTGAGAATCTGGGATTGACCTTGGACTGTTAAGAATGTTGACAGAAGAAGCCTTAGTGGTTGCATTATGTAAGATGAATGGCTCACTGGAACAGCTCCATAGGAAGACGGATGACTTGGAACAAAAAGTGACTAATTTGGGACAAAAAGTGAATATTAATACAGAAACTATTCAGGAATCGATACAGGGATCTACCTTGACATGGCAAATTGAGGAGAAGGTGGGGGAGAAAGTTGTTAGAGCCCCAACCTCACAGATGCAATTTGATGACTATAAGTGGATGCCTTTTATGACTGAATCTAGAAAAAGCCAGACTTTGAGGATTGGAGCCCCGCTTGGATTGGAGAAGGAAAGTTGGATAGATCCCTTCATGCAGGGATTTATTGACTTTTGGGACTTGGACTTGGGTCAGGAGGAGACTGGAGTTGTGGGGACTGCTAGACTTGGAGGAACTTTGAAATACGACTGGAAATACCTTGTGAATTTTAGTTTTAACTATGGAGATTTGGCTGATCTTTTGAGAAGCAATAAAAATATTGCTAGGTGGGAATTTCCTCGAGATTTACTTTTCAGCATCAAAGGAAGGAAAATAAGAACAAGATCAGGAGAAGACAAAGTAAAGTGCATGTATAAACATGAAGAAGACTCGCAGAAGGGACTTGGAGAAGAGTTAAGAGCCTCGGAAAGAAGAATCCGAGACCAGGGAGAAGAGACGGTGGAAGATTATTGGAAAAAGTTTAAAATCTATATATGGAAATAATGTAAAATTAATGAATGTTAGAAAAATGTTGGAAGGAAATTATATGGCTTTAGTAGAAATGTTTTAAGGAATTAAGCATAAATAAGCATTATAGTTTTAATGGAAAATAAGGTTAAAATATGTTAAGATAATCATATGACAGAAAATAGAGAAAGATGGAAAGGATTTGCTGAAACAATTAATAGAAATGGAATACAAAAAGGGAGGTGAGAGGAGGTCGATGAAACAAGGGAATGAAAGAGAGGATATTGAGATGGTATGATGTGTGTTTTTTGAATTGTTTTTGCTTTTGTATTGTTTAATGTGTTAATGTTGTGTTGTGTATTGTTTATATATTGTATTGTATTGTATTGTATTGTATGTTTTTTCTTCTTTTTTCTTTTTTGTAAGGTTTAAAAGTAATAAACCATATGCAATTGTTGTAAGAATTTTAAGGTCTAATATATATAAAATAAATGTTCCAAGCAAGTCTTGTAAACAAAAAATCTGCCCTTTTTCCCTTATGGGCTATCCAAGAGCCCATATAGAGGCCTTATGTAGGTTCTCTATTGGTGGGAGAAAATAACAGAGACCAACCAGAGAATATTGAGAAGCAAAGCAGCTTGTAAGCCTGATCTTTATTGATCTGTTGCAACAGGGTCCTCACTCAACACACGCAGGAGGGAGGAGGAACCCAGAACAATGGCACACAAGGCCTTATATAGACATTTTAAATGCCCTGCCCTGGAGCTCAAGAGCATCCCTCCATACATGATACATACATCACAGAAAGGGTGTAACGCAAGACCACCCCCGAGATACATTATTCCTACATCACAGAAAGGGCGGTTTACAGCATAAATCTGAGTGGTTTGTTTAGCTCCTGTGTGCCAGGTTACCTGTTTAATGGTCACTTCAATGGATTCCCAGGGGAGCCTGGCCAGTCTTTTGTAATGATAAATACTTAGTTTCTGTGCCAGGTCACAGGCTCACACCCTATTCATATCTTAAATGTGCCCTTAAGACAGGATTTATGAAGGAAAAGACAATGGGGAGGATCTTCCCATCTCTTCCTCTCTTTTAAATTGGAACCAGTGAAGGCAGTGAATTCCCTGTGTGCCTTTCTGGAGGTGGTTGGAGGATGGATGGCAGCTAAGAGATTGAGGTTGAATCCAGACAAGGGAGGCAGGTGTGGGGGACTCCCGGTTCCTGATGGCATAACAGTGCCCCTAAAGGACCAGGTCATCACCTTTGAGTATAGAGTCAGTGCCCCTATTCCTCTAGCAGCAGCGATTGTGGGGCTTCCTCGCCCACTTCCATTCAGCTCCACCATTCCCAAATGGCAATTCTTCTTCAGCCATTGTGGGAACAGACGGGCTGGAAGCTGAAGCGGCTTCCCTTTGAGTAGGCTTTGCTTCCCTTTCTGCTGACCTCAGTCTCTTGGATTGTGGCCAGCTTTCCTCTTCCATTTCCCTGAATGCTGAGCAGTGTTGGATGTGTGGGAAGCAAAATTCACCCCATAACTTTTCCGCAGGGTTCCCTCCACAGCACAGAAGGATGGGGGGAGGGAGGAACACATATTATTAAACGAACACTCCTGTGAATGGAGAGAGGCAGAAAGTGGAGTCCCCTATAGATCAGTATTGGGACCCATGGCTTTTCAACTTGTTCATAAATGATCTAGAGTTAGGAGTGAGCAGGGAGGGGGCAAAGTTTGCTGGTGGCAGTAAATTGTCCAGGGTTCTTCAAACAAAGAGAGATTGCAAGGAGCACCTAAAAGAGCTCTCCAAACGCGGTGATTGGGCTGAAAATACAGTTCATTGTCAACAAGATTAAAGTGAGGCATGTTGGGGGGGGGGGAGGGAAACACCCTCTTAATATCATGTTCAGGATCATGGGGTCTGAACCGGGTTTCTCTGTGTGCTCTAGGAGACCAGGGGAGAGGGGAGCTGGTCGCAGCAGGAGGGGGAGTCTCCCTGGTTGCTTCAGCAGCCGGCCTCCTCTCAGTCTCCTGCCCCCTCCTCTCCTGAACTGCTCTCTGCCCCAGCCTCTTCCTGCTCACCAAACCTGTTTCCTCCTCAGCTTGCAACACCTCCCTTCCCGTTCCCCTTCCCTCTATCTGCTCATTGCCATCCCACCACCAGTCCCCAAGATCTGAGCCTTCTTCCTTTGTGGGTCTCCCAGCTGGTGCCTCACCCCCCCCCCCAATCCAGCCAGTCCATGACAGCAAAAACAGCCATAGCAGTAAAATCAGTATGATAGTAATATACACTCTGGTCCTCTGGTAGCAAAATTCCATAGCAGCATGATTGAATAATAACTTCTGGGACTATGGAAAAGTACTATCTTCTCCAAACCCCAGAATAAGCAGGAGCTCTGGGCTTGCCCCATGGGGTTCATGAGTGAATATGGGAACCACCAGGAAACTTTCCTCGTACCTGCAGCCCCTCCTTCCCCCTCTTGAAATTAGGCTTGGGGGAAAATCTCCCATTCAATTTCAGTATTTCAAGTTTCTTCAGAACGCGCAGGAGGCAGGGATGAAGTTCTGGAGGAGAAGAAGTGTTTGGAGATCATGCAGTGGTGGGGGTGAGAGAGTTTGTGGCAAAAACCGCCTTGCATGTTTGAGTAGAGCAACTCCAGGGCATGAGCTAAGTATAACCGGAGTACGGCCCACGTGTAGAGCAAGTCCCACACTGAGGTCAAAAGCACACACAGCGGCAGCCGGACTTCTTCAGTAATAGTTTACTGAGCTTTCAAAGCATACAGTTCTCACTGGGTCCCCAGTGAGGCACCAAACTTAGCTCCTGAGAGCAGATCGAGTTTCAGCAGTAAAAAAATTTAGCAGACAGGAAATCTAAGTCAGGCACACAAACCGGCAGAAGAGAGCAAGGGAGGCAAGAGGCTGGAACGACACAGGGCAATGTGTTTTGTCAGGGAATGGTCTGAAGCCAAATATGGGGGAATCCATTCTCAGGCAGATCAGCTTTCCTCAGAAGAGGAGCTGGAGGGGGAGAAATGCCCCCCCTCGTTTCCAGTGGTCTCAGAAGCAGGGAGAGACACAGACACAGAGCAGATTAGACAGGAGTTACCTAGTTCGAGATAATGACAACACTCAGCTGGGCCCTGAAGCCGGATTTCCTCTGAGTTCATTGCTGCGCAGAAGAGGGGCCTCTGATAGGAACATGTCCCGCACTCCATACATCTAAATGATCTCCCTTGTGAGACTCCCTAGATGTTTCCTAAACACTCCATTATAACTAAAGCTCTTTCTGTAATCCTTCCATTTAAACTGCTTCTCCTCTTTGAGGTTGTTGATGGTTTGTAGGGTGGCAACTATTAAAGTTCATCCTGTGCATGAGTCTGTTGATGCAGGACTTTCACTAGGACTGAAACTCTTATCTCCTCTGCTGCCATTTATATGGTTTGTCTCTTGTGTGAGTTTGTTGATGAAAATCAAGGATTCCACTCTGCCTGCAGCCCTGTGTGAGTCCGTTGATGTGTACTAAGTTTTCCATTATCATTAAAGCTCCTTCCACACTCCATACATTTAAATGGTTTCTCCAATGTAAGTCTGCTGATGTTTTCTAAAATTTCCACTCCGATCGAAGACATTTCCACACTCCATACAGTTAAATGGTTTCTCCCCTGTGTGAAGCCACTGGTGTTATTGAAGGTCCAAAATTATGACAGAAACTCTTTCCGCACTCCAGGCATTTAAATGGTTTCTCCCCTGTGTGAGGCCGTTGATGTGTTCTAAGTTTTCCATTATCACTAAAGCTCTTTCCACACTCCATGCATTTAAATGTTTTGTCTCCTGTGTGAGTCCGTTGATGTTTTCTAAGGGATCCACTTTCGCTAAAGCTCCTTCCGCACTCCATGCATTTAAATGGTTTCTCCCCTGTGTGAGTCCGTTGATGTTTTCTAAGGGATCCACTTTCACTAAAGCTCTTTCCGCACTCCATACATTTATATGGCTTCTCCCCTGTGTGAGTCCGTTGATGTTTTCTAAGGGATCCATTATCACTAAAGCTTTTTTTGCAATTAATGCATTTAAATGGTTTCTCCCCTGTGTGAGTTCGTTGATGTGTTCTAAGATGTCCATTATCACTATATCTCTTTCCACACTCCATACATTTATATGGTTTTTCACCCGTGTGAGTCCGTTGATGTATATTGAGGTGTCCACTCTGACTGAAACACTTTCCGCACTCCATACATTTAAATGGTTTCTCCCCTGTGTGAGTCCGTTGATGTGTTCTAAGGGATCCACTATCACTAAAGCTCCTTCCACACTCCATACATTTATATGGTTTCTCCCCTGTGTGAGTCCGTTGATGTGTTCTAAGGGTTCCACTATCACTAAAGCTCTTTCCGCACTCCATACATTTATATGGTTTTTCCCCTGTGTGAGTCCGTTGATGTATATTGAGGTGTCCACTCTGACTGAAACACTTTCCGCACTCCATACATTTAAATGGTTTCTCCCCTGTGTGAGTCCGCTGATGTGTTCTAAGATGTCCATTATCACTATATCTCTTTCCACACTCCATACATTTATATGGTTTTTCACCCGTGTGAGTCCGTTGATGTATATTGAGGTGTCCACTCTGACTGAAACACTTTCCGCACTCCATACATTTAAATGGTTTCTCCCCTGTGTGAGTCCGTTGATGTGTTCTAAGGGATCCACTTTCACTAAAGCTCTTTCCGCACTCCATACATTTATATGGTTTCTCCCCTGTGTGAGTCCGTTGATGTGTTCTAAGGGTTCCACTATCACTAAAGCTCTTTCCGCACTCCATACATTTATATGGTTTTTCCCCTGTGTGAGTCCGTTGATGTATATTGAGGTGTCCACTCTGACTGAAACACTTTCCGCACTCCATACATTTAAATGGTTTCTCCCCTGTGTGAGTCTGCTGATGTGTTCGGAGTATTGCATTCTGACTGAAGCTCTTTCCGCACTCCATACATTTATATGTTTTCTCCCCTGTGTGAGTCCTTCGATGTTTTCTAAGGGATCCACTATCACTAAAGCTCCTTCCGCACTCCATACATTTATATGGTTTCTCCCCTGTGTGAGTCCGTTGATGTGTTCTAAGGGATCCACTATCACTAAAGCTCCTTCCGCACTCCATACATTTATATGGTTTCTCCCTGTGTGAGTCCGTTGATGTGTTCTAAGGGATCCACTATCACTAAAGCTCCTTCCACACTCCATACATTTAAATGGTTTCTCCCCTGTGTGAGTCCGTTGATGTGTTCTAAGGGTTCCACTATCACTAAAGCTCTTTCCGCACTCCATGCATTTAAATGGTTTCTCCCCTGTGTGAGTCCGTTGATGTCTTCTAAGTTTTCCATTATCACTAAAGCTCTTTCCGCATTCCGTACATTTATATGGTTTCTCCCCTGTGTGAGTCCGTTGATGTTTTCTAAGTTTTCCATTATCACTAAAGCTCTCTCCACACTCCATGCATTTAAATGGTTTCTCCCCTGTGTGAGTCCGTTGATGTTTTCTAAGAGATCCACTTTCACTAAAGCTCTTTCCGCATTCCGTACATTTATATGGTTTCTCCCCTGTGTGAGTCCGTTGATGTTTTCTAAGGGATCCATTATCACTAAAGCTTTTTTCGCAATCCATGCATTTAAATGGTTTCTCCCCTGTGTGAGTCCGTTGATGTGTTCTAAGGGTTCCACTATGACTAAAGCTCTTTCCGCACTCCATACATTTATATGGTTTTTCCCCTGTGTGAGTCCGTTGATGTCTTCTAAGTTTTCCATTATCACTAAAGCTCTCTCCACACTCCATGCATTTAAATGGTTTCTCCCCTGTGTGAGTCCGTTGATGTTTTCTAAGAGATCCACTTTCACTAAAGCTCTTTCCGCATTCCATACATTTATATGGTTTCTCCCCTGTGTGAGTCCGTTGATGTTTTCTAAGAGATCCACTTTCACTAAAGCTCTTTCCGCATTCCGTACATTTATATGGTTTCTCCCCTGTGTGAGTCCGTTGATGTTTTCTAAGGGATCCATTATCACTAAAGCTTTTTTCGCAATCCATGCATTTAAATGGTTTCTCCCCTGTGTGAGTCCGTTGATGTCTTCTAAGTTTTCCATTATCACTAAAGCTCTCTCCACACTCCATGCATTTAAATGGTTTCTCCCCTGTGTGAGTCCGTTTATGTGTTCTAAGTTGTCCACTATCACTATATCTCTTTCCACACTCCATACATTTATATGGTTTTTCACCCGTGTGAGTCCGTTGATGTATATTGAGGTGTCCACTCTGACTGAAACTCTTTCCACACTCCATACATTTATATGGTTTCTCTCCTGTGTGAGTCTGTTGATGTCTTCGGAGGGTTGCATTGAAACTGAAGCTTTTTCCGCACTCCATACATTTAAATGGTTTCTCCCCTGTGTGAGTCCGTTGATGTATATTGAGGTGTCCACTCTTAATGAAGCGCTTTCCACACTCCATGCATTTAAATGGTTTCTCCCCTGTGTGAATCCGCTGGTGTAATTTCAGGTCTCCATTCTGACTGAAGCTCTTTCCACACTCCGTACATTTAAATTGTTTCTCCCCTGTGTGTGTCCGTTGATGTCTTCTAAATTTTCCATTATCACTAAAGCTCTTTCTACACTCCATGCATTTAAATTTCTCTCCTGTTTGTGTCCGTTGATGCATATTGAGGTGTCCACTCTGACTGAAACTTTTCCTACACTCCATAACTTTGAGTGGTTTCTCCCCTGCTGAAGGTCGTTGATGTGAACTATGTGCGCTCATTCAATGAAGCATATTCCACATTTCACACATTTTAATTTCTATTCCTAATGAAACCAAAGGTGACCCATCCCCTGGAGTTCTTACTGTCTTTTCCATCTCCTTGTTCAGAGTGGGAGGAAAGGGAATCCTGTTTGGGTTTAAAGGAAGAGAACTAAGGGAAAGAGAACACATCAAGCTCCATTAGCACCTTCTCCTATTTCAACGTCTCCTACATTCCCTCACATCCTACCCATGTTCCCAATTTTTAGGAGCTGAAGTTGGAATGTCAAATGATAGTAATTCATGAGCAACTTTCAAAATCCTCAATCAATGTTCATAAAGCAGCTTGATTTTTTAAAGAATGATTTGCTGTCTGATCTCGTGCCTGTCTTCTGACGCAGAACTATCCTAAAATGACACTGAAAAGCAGGATATTCAAGGCAAATAGATAAACTGTACTTAGTGGAATGTGTAGTACTTGAAAATATTGTATTGATTCACTAATGGCCTGAAGTTGTGTTATTTCTGGGGACATGAATTTGTTCCTGTTTTGTCTTAAATATCATAATCATACGATGTCATGGGGTGATGGGGAGCTGTAGTTCCTTTGGTGGGAGAAATGTCATGCACCTTATGGGGTAATTTATCCACCATTGGTCCCCACCCTGCACTCAGCTCTCACCTGTGGCTTCCAGAAGCTGTCAGCATGCAAAAGAGGCCATAATCCCAGGAACGGCTTCAATCGGCCAGCTAAACCAGGTGAGGATACCTGATGGGTCTCAAATTCTTGGTGAGTTGGGGAATTCTGCTGCAGGTGAAGGCAGGCCCTGGTGGATGGAGAGGAGGAGAACAACAGTGAATCCCACAGTCAAGAAGGCAGATTCTGCCCATGCTGCAGAGGAAATGAGGGCAGATGGGGCTCGTCAACCAGGGAAGGGAGCCCATCGAGAAGGAAAACTCTGGTCGTAATACTTTGGTTCACTCCTTCACGTCCTCTTGAGTTATCTTCAGGAGAAGAAAATGCTATGGAGGAAAACCTACAGAAATCCAGAGTGGAGTCTCTAAGGCGGTTGGATGGTGCCCTGCACACCACCTTCCAGCCACTCCTGCAGCCAAGCTGGTGCCTAACATACTCCTCGGCTTTCCTTCGGACCATATAAGCCAGGCTGAGAAGGGGGTCTTGTTGTCTAGGCAGCCCTGAACCCCCAAACACACTGCCCAGGCAGTGCTGCTAACACAGCAGTTTCAGGCAGAGAGATGAGCTCAGACCTGTGTATAACAATCTCTCCAATGTGGAATATGTAAAAAAGAAGTGCTGTTTATATCATTCATCAATTAAAAACTAGTCAGAATATTTGTCTTTTTAATAAAAGGCCACCAAGCATACGATGGCCCCTTAAAAGCTAATTAAATTCTTGGGCCTGGAGCTTTTGGGGGTGCAGGACCAGAAAAGCTTCTTCCATCATTATCCTTCCAATCGGGATTCAGGCCTCATCATGGAACTGAAACTACCCTGGTTGCTGTGACTGATGATCTCCGATGGTCTAGAGGCTGAGAGGAAAAGCTGTTTCCTGGTTCTGCTGGATCTCTCAGTGGTTTGGAGACCTTTGACCATGGTATCCTTCTGGACCCTCTAGGGGAGCTGGGGGCCCTGCTATGCAGTGTTTCCCCTTCTTCCTCCTGGGCCATGTCCAGAACGTGGTGTTGGAGGATGAAGGTTCAGACCCCTGGGTGCTCCCTTGTAGGAGCAACAGGGTTGCCATAAACAATAATCCCACCCACAAACTCTCATTCACACAAAGTCTGTCAATTTGGGGGGTCACACACCTCACCTGTGCTAATACTGGCAGTCTTTGGCCTGCATAGGCACACCCTGTATGTAGAGCCTCCAGCCCCAGCCACAGTCTATCATGAAAATGGGTCCTTTGACTGGGAAGATTCATGCAGTCGCTGTCATTGGATGCTGATGGGTTGTATCTCAGCTTGTCAGTCACTCTGACACTGCCTTCAAAGAATAAGAGGAACAGAAATGCTTTTGAGGTGCAACTTCTATATCAAGCCTGAGAGCTGTTCCATGGACTCTGCACCCCTGTTTCTGATGACAGGTGTACATTATCCTCAGCCTCAATGAACCATGCAGTGGAAAAGACACTTAAAGATGGAAGCCTGAGAGAGAGGAAAAGGTTTCTGGCTGCTTCCTGGGTGGGATTGAGGAAACAAAGAGCCTCTTCTGAGAAGCCCCCCCGCCCACTTTCTCTCGGGATTTTCCTCTCCTCTCCAGGGGGACCAATGGTTGGACTTGGCAGAACCGCTGTATCTGCCATTAATTTGATTTTGAATTGATATTAGAACGAATTGATTTTAGAATGCATTTTAATTAATTGCTTGTTATTTTATGTAAACTGTGTTACTTTTATTGTTGTAAGCCGCTCTGAGTCCAGCTTCGGCTGGGAAAGGCGGGATATAAATTATTATTATTATTATTATTATCTGGAGAGGTCAGGGGCTTATGGGGTGGGAATTGGGTGGAGCTTGCAGGAAAGAAGGTGTGTCTTGTTAAAGGAGAAATCTGAGGACCCCCCTGGACAAAAAACAAGGACACCAGCCAGGAATACCAGAGCAAAACAGTAGCCAGTAGGCTTGGTCTTTATTGAAGACTCCTGGTGGAACAAGATGGAAGCCCCGAACAAAAGAGAACCCAAACTTTTATTAGCTGCTGCAATAAATGAAAATCTGCCATTATTCCCTTATGCAGGACACAAGAGCCCTCATAGAGTCCTTTGTAGGTTCTCCATCGGTCAGAGGAAAAAACAGAGGTCAACCAGAGAATATTGAGAAGCAAAGCAGCTTGTAAGCCTGATCTTTACTGAACTGTTGCAACAGGGTGCCCCCTTCACACATAGGAGAAGGAGGAGGACCCAGAACCAAGATGTGTCCGCCCTTATATAGACATTTTAAATTGCCCACCTTGGAGTCCAAGACCACCCCCAGAAACATCATACCTACATCACAGAAAGGGCGGGCTAAAGCAGAAATCTGAGGGGGTTGTTTACCCCCTGTCTGGCAAGTTACCTGTTAATGCTTACTTGATTGATACCCTGGGGAGCCTGGCCAGTCTTTTGTAATGATAAGTCCTTAGTTCCTGAGCCAGATCACAGGCTCACCCTATTCATACACAGATATACCCTTAAGACAGGATTTGTGAAGGGAGGCTGCTCCATTTGACCTTGCAGAGAAAACACCTGGTCAGCCTGGGAGTCAAAATGGCTCCATGGCTGCTCTCCTGTGCAGGTTCAGACATGGGGCCTATATATCTATGTACATGTTTGCCTGGTACATTTATGAACCTTCATTATATACATAAGACCTTAATTTATTTATTTCACTGCTAATCCCAATGTTACACCCCCCCCAAACTACATCATGGTTACATCATGAAAGGGAAGATCTGGTGGCAGTAATCTGAGCATCCTGGACCCTGCCCCATAGTTCCCCTTGCCCTCCACCAAACACCCATCGAGTGTAACAAAAGAGACATTTACATTTCACTGCTAGGAGCAGAAGTGCGTCAGTAGCCAGAGCGGAACAGGGGGGGGGGAGTGCAAACCAACATGACCACCATGTGGCCTGACCTATGCCCCCCCCCAACAAGAAAGAAACGGCCGCCCATGCGGCCTACAATTGGAGGGCGGCGGATGGCGGTGGCGAGGGAGCCATGCCTCCCCGCCCCACCACTACAAAAAAAACAAGAAGGCCACCCCCTGCGGCCTAGCTGGCCCCCCGCCCAGAAAGAAAAGCTGCAAAATTGTAGCCTAGCCCGGTGGGTGGGGCCATGCCCCTTCCAATCAGGCCAGACCTTACCTTAATTCAGCCGCCAGGACACACTCCTGAGGATCCTGATCCTGGAAGGAAGAAAACAAAAAGGGGCTTGGACAAAGGGGTCGGCCTCTTTTCTTTGGCCTTTGCCCCACCCCCGGCTGGCCACCCATTGTCCTCCCTGACCTGTTTCCCAGCCAAGTTAATCACACCCTTTTGTCTTCATCTGGGTTGGTTCTTTCTCGAATGGCTACCTGTCTGGCACTCAGGTATCAGGATGCCAGGGATTATCACTCAGGCAGAGGGGCTGCTGAGTAGCTGAGCTCACAGGTCTAGATGAATTTCTGAAGTTGCCCCAGTGAGCCAGTACATACAGAGATTTATCAGTGAATTATTACATTTGGTATTGTGCAGCAAAGGCCCTTTGAATAGATAGGAAGAAACTGGGATGAAGTGCTTTGTGGGGTCAAATCACAAAAGTGATGGTGCTGATTTTGGTAGTGGGCTGCATGTGCATGATATCTGCTGGAGGTGCAACCCCCCCCCAACCTATACATAAATTCCTGCAACAGTATGGGCAGGGCAGGGGCTTATGGGGTGGGAGTAGGATAGAGGTTGCAGGAAGGAAGGGGTGGGGGGACACGACCCCCCACTTTCCAGGGATCCCTCTCTGGTAGCCTTGAAGGGGTGGCTGATTCCTGGGTGGGAGGGAGAAGCCAAGGTGGTCCCTCCAGAGAATCCCCGTGAGCGCCACGATGGAGATGTGTCCCCAAAGACTGGTCTTCCTAGCTCACCCCCCCCCAATTGCTGCCCTTCCCTACCCCAGGGATGCTCCCCCTCCCCACTTCCTCGACTCCCTCCCTCTGTCCCAGAGTCTCCCCTGTACCCAGAGGCCCCCCTTGGCGTGGCTCACCCCACGCCCTGCGCCCCCCGTCTCTCCGTCCGGAGCCCCCCCCCCAAAGACGAGCAGGGGAGGGACAGGAGGGTGTCTATCCAGGCGTCCCTCACGCCCGTTAACCCTTTCATGGCCCACCTTTCTCCGCACGGAACCCACAGAGTCCCAGGGATGCCTGCGCGGGGAAATGGGGCGAGGGGGCTTCATTGGGATCCCCTGGGTGGGCTTCCTAAGGGTCCAAGGAAAACCCCTTCGCAGAACGCGTGCAGGGATTCAGATCCACGAAAGGCGCTTTGGGGAGCTGGAGGAGGTCTCTGGATCCTTCTCTCGCCTCCCACCCGAGACCCCTTTACCTCTTTGTCCTCGCTCGCGATTCTCCTTTCCTTTCCCTTCCTGCAACATCCACGTGGGGGGGGGGGGATTTACCTGCCGCCCCTCCTCCCCTTTCCGAAAGCGCGCGCCTCTAGAGCTGCGGGGCAAGGCAGCAATCCGGCGCAGAAGCTCCACTTGCGGGAGAAGCAGGCAATTTGGGAGGGGGCTCTTTCCCCCCTCCCCCTCCCGGAACAGAAGTCGGATGGCGAGGAAGAGGAAGAGGAGGAGGAGGTGCAACGTATGGGGGCGGGATTTGGGGTTGTGGGGGCGAGGTGAGAGAAGGATGTGCCGGGAGGGGAGCGGAGGAATTGGGGGGAGGGAGAGGAAGGTTTCCCCCTCCCTTCTTCCTTCTGGGGATCAGGAGAGCGGGGGAGGGGCTGATCCCGGCAATCCACTTGCAAAGTGGGGTCTCGCACCCCAAAATGTTTACATTGCAAAATCCCTCCCTCCCCCACCCCACGCCACGAGATTAGATCCGTCCGTGTTTTAGGTACTGGTGCACGTTGAGCAGCGGCTTGGACTCTGTGACTCCTGTGTTAAGGGAAAAAATGGGGCTTTGGCATTTGCGCACACAGCCCCGACACCCAGGTGAAATTCATGCAAGGGGTGAAGCAGCCCAGAACTAAAGCGCGTTGGAATGTGTACATCCTCAGATAGTTTTTTTTCACCTCCTCCTTCCTTGCAGAGAAACATTTGGTCAACTGGGGAGTCAAAATGATTTCAGGACTGTCTTCCTGTGCTGCTTCGGACAGGTGGTTTATATATTTATGTACGTGTTTGCTTGGTACAGTTATGAACATTTATTATATATCTAAGACATTAAAATTCTTATAACAGAAACCACCCCCACCACTCCCCACAGGCAACAACAGGCTCCCAGCTCTGTGTATGTCTATGTATTTTATTGTCTCTATCTCTTTTTGTGTGCTTTGCGTTGAGAATTGTGTTTCCAGCTCAGCCAAGCGAGCTGGGGCTGGAGGGCCAGCTGTGTGTGTGAGAGAGACTGAGTGTGGGAACCCCACCGCCATGCAACAACAGGCTCCCAGCTCTGTGTATGTCTATGTATTTTATTGTCTCTATCTTGGCCAAGGGGGGCTGATGCTGTGAGGAAACAGGAGATTTCTCACTTTGTGTTTTGCTTGAAGGCTCCTGCAACATGTCGGAAGGGCAGGGAGTCCCCCCTTGGGTAACAACTTAAGCAGGAGCTCATAATGGGGGCGGGGTTCCCCACACTCACAGGAGGAATGGACTCCATTACAAGGCATGGTGAATAATTTAGGCAAATTCGAGCGCAAATACGGTGGAGCGATGAACCCCAAACGACTGAGAACTCCCTGCGGACAGCCCCCCCCCCCCGGGCTCGTAGGACCTGGACCTAACCAACCAGGTTTTTTGAAGCGTGACAAAACACCCTGGATGTTCGGAGCAGTTTGCATACGCAGACTCCTGGGTAGCGGTGCTGACAGAGAGCCCTACGTGGCTACAGAAGTTGAAAGGACAGTATTGTACCTCTCTGATGGTACAGTGGGCACTGGAGGAGGAAAAAGTCATCAAACCCCAAAAGAAAGAGCACTTTTCCAGAGGAGGGGTGAAAATGAAAGAACCGACCTGGCCCCCAATGGTTCCCACTCTTACAGAATGGGGGGGCATATAAACAGAGTTTTACTCCCGAGTAAACCTCGTAGGGCCTGAGACGATAATCTCAAGAGAACCCCACTGTACAAGGGCTCCCCTCGTCCTGTCACAACGTTGCACCAAGCACCACACAAAAACCCAACATTCCAAGAATAAAGTGCCATTTCTGACTGCGTATCCCGGTGCTATATACAGGCGAGCAGTATGAATGATGTATTTTATGAATGGACAATTTATTTGCATGAGGATGCATCCTGACCAATCAAATCGCGACAAATCTAGTACATCAGCCAATCTCAGCAATTTATATGGCTCCGCAGGAGCTGCTCAGCGCAGCTATCTTGCACTATTCAATGAGCGCTGACAAGGTGACAACAGCTCCTGCTGAGAGAACAATGGACTAAGTTCATCGAAACCTCGTTACCTTGTAATCCACTCATAAAACTGGATCCAATGTAGCGAGGCCAAGTCGGGTCATTTCCGAACCCACTGTCTGTATTGTGAATAGCCAAAAACGCTTAGAAATTCATAGGAAATCACTGGTTTCAACGATTCTCTTCATTCCACCGCCAATTTGCTTCATTGGCTAAGGGCTTGGAAACCACTCTGTCCCCGCCATAATCCCTCCAGCAGGAGGTCACGTACTCACAGGAAGGTACTCATAGGTGTCGATCGCTGGGCAAAAGCTCTCCTCCGGACTTGCCCAGGTGCCAGACTATGCAAACCAAAGTTCTATTGTTGTTTTGCAGTAGGTGCTTAGAATGTACCTTCCCAATACATATCCTGTATTTGCCTGTTACCCTGAGACATTCCTCCTATGTGAATCATGTATAACCCTCCCTTTTCTGATGTAGTGATGATGTAGCAATGATGTAGTGATGATGCTCCACAAACTGTATGCTGGGATAAGATGGAAACTTTTAAAAGTCCTTGTCACCCCATCCTCGGGGTTCAATTCCTCTTTCAACCTGTTGCGCAATAAACTTTGGTCTACAGCTATTTGCTCCGGTTGGTGGCCGGACTCCTTCCTTTATTCCGCAGGGACCCACGGGCTCTGCCTGATGAGCTGGGTGGCTGAGCAGCCTTGCACCTGGGTCCCCCCCAAAAAACCACCAAATTAGCCTTTTATTGAACAGACCTAGGAGTTTTGATAACCTTTGGGGGCATACAACACTCAGACTCCAGATCTTTTTCCCTTGGGGGTTCCCATGCTGATGCCTCCCCACTTTTCACCCAGCCAGTCCATGACAGCAACAGCAGCAACAACAGTAAAATCAGCACGATAATAATATGCACACTGGTCCTCTGGCAGGAAGAATAATAACTTCTGGGACTATGGAAAAGTACTATCTTCCCCAAATCCCAGAATAAGCAGTAGATCTGGGGTTGCCCCATGGGGTTCATGAGTGAAGATGGGACCCATCAGGAGACTTCCCTGGTACCTGCAGCCCCTCCTTCCCTCTCTTGCAATAAGGCTTGGGGGGAAATCTCCCATTAAATTACAGTATTTTAAGCTTTCTTCTGAATGTGTAGCAGACAGGGAGAGGTTCTAGTGAAGAAGCAGTGTTTGGAGATCACACGTGGTGGGGTTGAGAAAGTTTGGTGCAAAAACCAATCACACACATATGCACCAAGTTTTCATGCTTGAGTACAGCAGTTTCAGCAGTAAACAAATACAGCACACAGGATATCTAAGTCAGGAACACAAACCGGCAGAAGGGAGCAAGGGAGGAAAGAGGCTGGAACGACGCAGAGCAATGGAGGTGTGTCTTTCGCTTCCTGTCGCCTGGGAGGGAAGTCAGCCACTCAGCATATTCAGGGGCTTCACGAAGCAAAGCTTTCTGCCAGCAGCTTCCAGGCAAATGAGCATCCTGGAAACACACACTGTGATTCTTGGTGTGTTGCCATATCAATTGTTTTTGAAAGGTTATCATGATGTGGTCTAGAAACCAGTTTGGACAATATATCGCCCAGCCCTAATCCCCACTCACCACCAACAATCCAGACAAACCCTCTCCCCTTCTCTATCAAAAGGTACTTTACATCTTAGATCATAATCACATTGTTTGACATTGCCTTCAATATTTTATTACGATAGAGTTTTACACATAAAAAACCAGAACTTCACATACACAACATGTGTTAAAGACTGATTTCCTCCTGAGTTCATTTCTGTGAAGAAAAGAGTGGACTCTGAGAGGAAGACATCCAACACTCCATACATCTAAATGGGTTCTTACATCTGAGAGTCTCTGGATTTTCCTTAAACACTCCACTGTAAATAAAGCACTATTGCAATCTTTTCATTTAAACTGCTTCTCCTCTTTGAGTCTGTTGATGGTTTGAAGGGTTTCAACTCCAAAGGTTCTTCCTGTCCGTGAATCTGTTGATTTAGAATTTCCACCAAGACTGAACCTCTATCTACTTTCCTGATATTTATAAGGTTTGTGTTTTGTGTGAGTTTGTTCACATAAATCAAGGGTTCCACTCTGACTGGAGCTCCTTCCACAGTCCATACATTTAAACAGTTTCTCCCCTGTGTGTCTGCTGATGTTTTCTAAGATTTCCATTCTGACTGAAGCTCTTTCCGCACTCCAGGCATTTAAATGATTTCTCCCTGTGTGAGTCTGTTGATGTATATTGAGGTGTGCACTCTGACTGAAGCACTTTCCGCACTCCATGCATTTAAATGGTTTCTCCCCTGTGTGAGTCCGTTGATGTTTTCTAAGGTCTCCATTCTGACTGAAGCACTTTCCGCACTCCAGGCATTTAAATGGTTTCTCCCCTGTGTGAGTCCGTTGATGTTTTTTAAGGGTTCCATTATCACTAAAGCTCATTCCGCACTCCATGCATTTAAATGGTTTCTCCCCTGTGTGAGTCCGTTGATGTTTTTTAAGGACTCCATTCTGACTGAAGCTCTTTCCGCACTCCAGGCACTTAAATGGTTTCTCCCCTGTGTGAGTCTGCTGGTGTATATTGAGGTGTGCACTCTGACCGAAGCACTTTCCGCACTCCATGCATTTAAATGGTTTCTCCCCCGTGTGAGTCCGTTGATGTTTTCTAAGGTCTCCATTCTCACGGAAGCACTTTCCGCACTCCAGGCATTTAAATAGTTTCTCCCCTGTGTGAGTCCGTTGATGAATTCTAAGGGTTGCATTGAAACTAAAGCTCTTTCCGCACTCCATGCATTTAAATGGTTTCTCCCCTGTGTGAGTCCGTTGATGTGTTTTAAGTTTTCCATTCTCACTAAAGCTCTTTCCGCACTCCAGGCATTTAAATGGTTTCTCCCCTGTGTGAGTCCGTTGATGTATATTGAGGTGTCCACTCGGACCAAAGCACTTTCCACACTCCATGCATTTAAATGGTTTCTCCCCCGTGTGAGTCCGTTGATGTATATTGAGGTGTCCACTCTGACCGAAGCACTTTCCGCACTCCATGCATTTAAATGGTTTCTCCCCCGTGTGAGTCCGTTGATGTTTTCTAAGGTCTCCATTCTCACTGAAGCTCTTTCCACACTCCATACATTTATATGGTTTCTCCCCTGTGTGAATCTGTTGATGTCTTCTAAGGTTTCCACTGATACCGAAGCTCTTTCCACACTCCAGGCATTTAAATGGTTTCTCCCCTGTGTGAGTCCATTGATGTATATTGAGGTGTTCACTCTGACTGAAGCTCTTTCCGCACTCCATACCTTTAAATGGTTTCCCCCTGTTGGAGGTCGTTGATGTGAACTATGTGTGCTCATTCAATGAAGCATATTCCACATTTCACACATTTTAATGTCTAATGAAAGGAAAGGTGCCCCATTCACTGGAGTTTTGACTGTCTTCTCCATCACCTTCTTCAGAGTGGGAGGAAAGGAAATCCTGTTTGGGTTTCAAGGAAGAGAACTAAGGGAAAGAGAACACATCAAGCTCCATTAGCACCTTCTCCTACATTCCCCCACCTCCTACCCATGTTCCCAATTTTTAGGAAATGAAGTTGCAATGTCATCAAATGATAGTAATTCATTAGCAACTTTCATAATCCTCAATCAATGTTAATAAAGCAGCATGATTTTTTAAAAGAATGTGCTGTCTGATCTCGTGCCCGTCTTCTGATACAGAACTATCCTAAAATGACACTTTAAAGGCGATATTCAAGGCAAATAGATAAACTGTACTTAGTGGAATATGTAGTACCTTGAATAAGTAGTATTAATTTATTTATGGCCTGAAGATGTGTTATTTCTAGAGACGAATTTATTCCGGTTCTGTCTCAAATATCATAATTATACGATGTCTTGGGGTGTTAGGAGAGCATTAGTTCCTTTGGTGGGGGTCATGTCATGCTCCTTATGGGGTATTCTATCCATCAATGGTCCCCAACCTGCACTCAGTTCTCACCTGTGGCTTCCAGAAGCTGTCAGGATAGAATAGGGGCCACAAGCCCAGGAACGGTTTCAACCGGCCGGCTAAACCAGGTGAGAATAGCTGATGGGTCTCAAATCCTTGGTGGGTTGGGGAATTCTGCTGCAGGTGAAGGCAGGCCCTGGTGGATGGAGAGGAGGAGAACAACAGTGAATCCCACAGTCAAGAAGGCAGATTCTGCTCCTGCTGTGGAGGAAAGTGAACGGCAGATGGGGCTCATCAACCAGGGAAGGGAGCCCATCGAGAAGGAAAACTGTGGTCCTAAATCTTCACTGCCTGGTTTTCTTCAGGAAAAGAAAAGTCTCCAAGAGGGTTGGATGGTGTCCTACACACCTCCTTCCAGCCACTCCTGCAGCCAAGCTGGTGCCTAACGTACTGCTCTTCTTTCCTTGGGACCATATAAGCCAGGCTGAGAAGGGGGTCTTGTTGTCTAGGCAGCCCTGAACCCCCAAACACACTGTCCAGGCAGTGCTGCTGACACAGCAGTTTCAGGGGGAGCAATGAACTCAGACCTGTGTATCAAAATCTCTCCAATGAGGACTATGTAAAACAGAAGTGCTGTTTATATCATGCATCAATTAAAAAGTGTTCAGAAAATTTGTCTTTTGAAGAAAAGACCACCAAGTATCCGATGGCCCCTTAAAAGCTAATGAAATTCTTGTGCCTGGAGCTTTTGGGAGTGCAGGACCAGGAAAGCTTCTGCCACCATGATCCTTCCAATTGGGATTCAGGCCTCATCATGGAACTGAAACTGTCCTGGTTTTGCTGTTTCCTGGTTCTGATGGATCTCTCAGCAGCTTTGGAGACCTTTGACCATGGTATCCTTCTGGACTCTCTAGGGGAGCTGGGGGCCCTGCTATGCAGTGGTTCCCCTCCTTCCTACTGGGCCATGTCCAGAAATTGATGTTGGAGGATGAGTGTTCTTTCCCCTGGCTGCTCTCTTGTGGGAGCAACAGGGTTGCCATAAACAATAATCCCACCCACAAACTCTCATTCACACAAAGACTGTAAACTGGGGGGGGGGGGCGTCACACACCTCGCCTGTGCTAATACTGGCAGTCTTTGGCCTGTATGTAGAGCATGTAGAGCCTCCAGCCCCAGCCACAGTCTATCATGAAAATGGGTCCTTGACTGGGAAGATTCATGCAGTCGCTGTCATCGGATGCTGATGGATTGTATCTCAGCTTGTCAGTCACTCTGAAACTGCCTATTGAGCCTACAAAAAGTAAGAGGAACAGAAATGCTTTTGAGGTGCAACTTCCATATCAAGCCTGAGAGCAATTCCATGGACTCTGCAACTGTTTCTGATGAGAGGTGTACATTATCCTCATCCTCAATGAACCAGGCAGTGGAAGAGACACTTTAAGATGGAAGCCTGAGAGAGAGGAAAAGGTTTCTGGCTGCTTCCTGGGTGGGATTGCAGAAACAAAGAGCCACTTCTGAGAAGCCCCCCCCCCCCACTTTCTCTCAGGATTTTCCTGTCCTCTCCAGGGGGACTAATGGTTGAACTTGGCAGAACTGCTGTATCTGCCATTAATTTGATTTTGAATTGATACTAGAATGAATTGATTTTAGAATGCATTTTAATTAATTGATTGTGTTTTTATGTAAACTGTGTTACTTTTATTGTTGTTAGCCGCTCTGAGCCCGGCTTCAGCTAGAAGGGTGGGATATAAATTACTATTACTATTATTATTATTATTATTATTATCTGGACAGGTCAGGGGCTTATGGGGTGGGAATTGTGTGGAGCTTGTAGGCAGGAAGTTGTGTCTTGTTAACGGAGAAATCTGAGGGCCCCTCTGGACAAAAAACAAGGACACCAGCCAGAATACCAAATCAAAACAGCAGCCAGTAGGCTTGGTCTTTATTGAATACTGTCACGATAGGACTCCCACCTGCCACCAGGTGGAACAAGATGGAAGCCCCGAACAGAAGAGAACCCAAACTTTTATTAGATGCTAATCCCAATGTTACAGCCCCCCAAACTACATCACTAATACATCATGCTTACATCATGAAAGGGGAGGTCTGGTGGCAGTAATCTGAGCATCCTGGACCCTGCCCCTTGCCCTCCACCAAACACCCATCAAGTGTAACAAAAGAGATATTTACATTTCCCTGCTAGGAGCAGAAGTGCAAGATGGGGGGGGATGGGGGAAGTGCAAAAAAACATGACCACCATGCGGCCTGACTTATACCCCCCCCCCAATAAGAAAGGAAATGGCAGAAATGCGGCCTGTTGTTTAAAGCGGCGTCAGCAGAATTAAAAGCTGCCGTGTGGCCTACGTCTGGGGTCGCACACCACCATTCATGGCCAGTGGAGCCCACGGCCATGCTCCCCCACGCCTGCAAAAAGGAAACAGCTGAAATGTGGCCTACAGCTGGAGGGTGGCGAATGGCGGCCTCGAGGGAGCCATTCCCCCCCCCCCACCGCCGCCGCTACAAAAACAAGAAGGCCACCCTCTGCGGTCTAGCTGGGCGCCTGCCCAGATAGAAAAGCTGCAAAATTGTAGCCTAGCCCGGTGGGTGGGGCCATGCCCCTTCCAATCAGGCCAGACCTTACCTTAATTCAGCCGCCAGGACACACTCCTGAAGATCCTGATTCTGGAAGGAAGAAAACCAAAAGAGGCTTGGACAAAGGGGTCGGCCTCTTTTCTTTGGCCTTTGCCCCACCCCCGGCTGGCCACCCATTGTCCTCCCTGACCTGTTTCTCAGCCAAGTTAATCCCACCCTTTTGTCTTCATCTGGGTTGGTTCTTTCTCGAATGGCTACCTGTCTGGCACTCAGGTATCAGGATGCCAGGGATTATCACTCAGGCAGAGGGGCTGCTGAGCTCACATGTCTATAGGAATCTCTGAAGTTTTCCCTGTGAGCCAGTACATAGAGACATTTATCAGTGAATTCCTACATTTGGTATCATGCAGCAAAGGCCCTTTGAATAGATAGGAAGAAACTGGGATGATTGTGGGGACAAATCAGAAAAGTCACAAAAGTGATGGTGCTGATTTAGGTAGTGGGCTGCACGTGCATGATATACAGACTACCAACCTATACATACATTCCTGCAACAGTCTGGGCAGGGCAGGGGCCTATGGGGTGGGAAGAGGATAGAGGTTGCAGGAAGGAACGGGTGTGGGGACACGACCCCCCCACTTTCCAGGGATCCCTCTCTGGTCGCCTTGAAGGGGTGGCCGTTTCCTGGGTGGGAGGGAGAAGCGAAGGCGGCCCCTCCAGAGAATTCCCGCGGGCGCCATGATGGAGATGTGTCCCCAAAGACTGGTCTTCCTAGCGCTCGCTCTCGCTCTCTCCCCCATTGCTGCACTTCCCTGCCCCAGGGATGCTCCCCCTCCCCACTTCCTCGACTCCCTCCCTCTGTCCCAGAGTCTCCGCTGCACCCAGAGGGCCCCCTTGGCGCGGCTTACCCCACGCCCTGCGCCCCCATCTCTCCGTCCGGAGGGGCCCCCCAAGACGAGCAGGGGAGGGACAGGGGGGGTCTCTATCCAGGCGTCCCTCACTCCCGTTAACCCTTTCATGGCCCACCTCTCTCCGCGCGGAACCCACAGCGCCCCAGGGATGCCTGCGCGGGGAAATGGGGCGAGGGGGCTTCGTTGGGATCCCCTGGGTGGGCTTCCTAAGGGTCCAAGGAAAACCCCTTCGCAGAACGCGTGCAGGGATTCAGATCCACGAAAGGCGCTTTGGGGAGCTGGAGGAGGTCTCTGGATCCTTCTCTCGCCTCCCACCCGAGACCCCTTTACCTCTTTGTCCTCGCTCGCGATTCTCCTTTCCTTTCCCTTCCTGCAACATCCACGTGGGGGGGGGGATTTACCTGCCGCCCCTCCTCCCCTTTCCGAAAGCGCGCGCCCCTAGAGCTGCGGGGCAGAGCAGCAATCCAGCGCAGAAGCTCCACTTCCGGGAGAAGCAGGCAGTTTGGGAGGGGGCTCATCCCCACACATTCCCGGAGCAGAAGCCGGATGGCGAGGAGGAGGAGCATCATATTGGGGAGGGGATTTGGGGTTTGCGGTGGCGGGGTGTGGGAAGGATGTGCCGGGAGGGTGGAATTTGGGGGGCGGGGAGGAGAGGAAGCCTTCCCCCCTCCCCTCTTCCTTCTGTGAATCAGGAGATTGGGGCTGGGCTGATCCCGGCAATCCTACTGCAAAGTGGGGTGTGTCCCCCCCCCACAATGTTTATATTGCAAAATCCTTCCCTCCCCCACCCCACGCCACGAGCTTAGATCCCTCCGTGTTTTAGGTATTGCTGCTGTTAACTCCAGGAGGGGGGGGGCAGTCAAGACACAAATCCATTGGGATGGTGGATTGAATCCTGATACTTTCCAAGGTGAAGCGCAGGAAAGCCTTGCAGCTAGGGGGATGTGTGAATACTATTATGGTGCTTTGGGGAGGAGGGTAGTTAAAAGGTGTGGGAAACTGGGGTTGTGGTGGAGCGATGAACCCAAATGACTGAGAATTCACTGTGAACAGGACTGGCCCACCCAAGCCTCACCCCCTTGCCTAAAAGCCTGACACCCCGCAATGTGACAGGATTGTGACTCCTGCCCTCAGCAAGCAAAATATCCCCCCCCCCACCGGAACAAGGCAATCTCCGGGATGCTGAGGTGCCCCGAGGGCTGTGCGGGACCCCCGTTCCTTGAAATGGAGGGAGCCGTGGGCTGTGGCTCTGTGTGTGTCTCAGGCAAAAGGGGGTGGGCTGCTCTGTGTGTTTTGCTAGCAGTTAAATTGCACATTTGGGGGGGCGCTTTATTTTTGTGTGCTTTGCATTGAGACTTGTGTTTCCAGCTCAGCCAGGGGAGCTGGGACTGGGGGGGTGGGCAGCTGTGTGTGTGTGTGTGTGTGTGAGAGAGAGAGAGAGAGAGAGAGAGAGAGAGGACACCCCCCACAACAACAACAGGCTCCCAGCTCTGTGTATGTCTATGTATTTTATTGTCTCTATCTCGGCCAAGAGGGGCTGAGGCTGTGAGGAAAGAGGAGTTTTCTCGCTTTGTGTTTTGCTTGAAGGCTCCTGTCCGGCTGAGGGCTGGGGCTGCAGAGATCAGGCTCCCCCCCCCCCCCTTGGCACAACTGCGAGTTCTCTGCCCAGGACTGGCGGGCTGTGCTGCTGAGGGGGGGCTTTTCGAGTCTTTTCTTTCTATAGGCTTTCTCACTGTGGGCCTTGCTGGCCATCAGTCTTTTCAAAAGGTTCCCCCACCTTTTAGTTTATCTGCAACATGTTGGAAGGGCAGGGAGTCTCCCTTGTGTAACAACTTAAGCAGGAGCTCATATTGGGGGGGTTCACACTCGCAAGAGGAATGGACTCCGTTACAAGGCATGGTGAATAATTTTGGCAAATTCGACCGCAAATACGATGGAGTGATGAACCCCAAACGACTGAGAACTCCCAGCGATCAGCCCCCCCCCCCACCGGGCTCATAGGACCTAACCAACCAGGTCTTTTGAAGTGTGACAAAACACCCTGGATATTCGGAGCAGTTTGCATACGCAGACTCCTGGGTAGCGGTCCTGAGAGAGAGCCCTACATGGCTACAGAAATTGAAAGGACAGTATTGTACCTCGCTGATGGTGCAGTGGGCACTGGAGGAGGAAAAAGTCATCAAACCCCAAAAGAAAGAGCACTTTTCCAGAGGAGAGGTGAAAACGAAATAACCAATGTGGCCTCCAACGGTTCCCACTGTTACGGAATGGAGGGGAGCATATAAACAGAGGTTTACTCCTGAGTAAATGATGTAGGACCCGAGGCGATGACCTCAAGGGAACCCCGCTATACAAGGGCTCCCCTCGTCCTTTCACAACGTTGCACCAAGCACCACACAAAACCCCAACACCCCAAGAGTAAAGCGCCATTTCTGACCGCGTATCCCGGTGCTATATACAGGCAGGCAGTATGAATGAACGATGTATTTTATGAATGAACAATTTATATGCATGAGGATGCGTCCTGACCAATCAAATCGCGTCAAATGTAGCCCTTCAGCCAATCCCAGCAATGCTATGGCTCTGCAGGAGCTGCTCAGCGCAGCTATCTTCCACGATTCAGTGAGCGCTGACAAGGTGACGACAGCTCCTGCTGAGAGAACAATGGGCTAAATTCATCGAAACCTCATTACCTTGTAATCCACTCATAAAACTGGATCCAATGTAGCGAGGCCAATTTCCGAACCCACTGTTTGTATTGTGAATAGCCAAAAACGCTTAGAAATTCATAGAAAATCACTGGTTTCAACGATTCTCTTCATTCCACCGACAATGTGCGTCATTGGCTAAGGGCTTTGAAACCACTCGGTCCCCGCCATAATCCCTCAAGCGGGAGGTCACGTATTTACAGAAAGGTGCTCTGGGTTAAACCCCAAAGGACTTGCTGATCAGAAGGTTGGCGCTTCAAATCCCTGCGATGGGGTGAGCTCCCGTTGCTCGGTCCCTGCTCCTGCCAACCTAGCAGTTCGAAAGCACGTCAAAGTGGAAGTAGATAAATAGGTACCGCTAAACGGTGTTTCCGTGCGCTGCTCTGGTTCACCAGAAGCGGCTTAGTCATGCTGGCCACATGACCCGGAAGCTGTACGCTGGCTCCCTCGGCCAGTAAAGCGAGATGAGCACCGCAACCCCAGAGTCGGCCACGACTGGACCTAATGGTCAGGGGTCCCTTTACCTTTACCTTACTCCTTGCCAACAAAGGTCTGTATAGTTAAAACTATGGTTTTCCCAGTAGTGATGTATGGAAGTGAGAGCTGGACCATAAAGAAGGCTGATTGCCGAAGAATTGATGCTTTTGAATCATGGTGCTGGAGGAGAATCTTGAGTGTCCCATGGACTGCAAGAAGATCAAACCTCTCCATTCTTAAGGAAATCAGCCATGAGTGCTCACTGGAAGAACAGACCATGAAGCTGAGGCTCCAAGACTTTGGCCACCTCATGAGAAGAGAAGACTCCCTGGAAAAGACCCTGATGTTGGGAAAGATGGAGGGCACAAGGAGAAGGGGATGACAGAGGACGAGATGGTTGGACAGTGTTCTCGAAGCTACCAGCAATAAACTTTGATCTATAGCTATTTGCTCTGGTTGGTGGCTGGACTCCTTCCTTTATTCAGCAGGGACCCACGGGCTCTGCCCCAATAAGCTGGGTGGCTGAGCAGCCTTGCACCTGGGCCCCACCATCCCAACACCAAATTAGCCTTTTATTGGCCAGTCCTAGGAGTTTTGATAGACTTAGGGGGCATACAAGACCCGGGTACCGAGCCTTCTTCCCTTGGGGGTTCCCAAGCTGGTGCCTCCCCCCCTTTCACCCAGCCAGTCCATGACAACAGCAGCAGCAACAACAACAGTAAATTCAGTACGTTAATAATATGCACACTAGTCCTCTAGTAGGAAGAATAATAACTTCGGGGGCAATGGAAAAATACTATCTTCCCCAAACCACAGAATAAGCAGCAGCTCTGGGGCTCCTCCAGGGGGTTCATGAGGGAAGATGGGCCCCCCAGGAGACTTCCCTGGTACCTGCAACCCATCCTTCCCACTATTGTGGGTGGGGAAGGAGGAATCTCCCATTAAATTTTAAGTTTTCTTCAGAACGTGCAGGGGGCAGGGATGAAGTTCTGTTGAATAAGTAGTGTTTGGAGATCATGCATTGCTGGGGGTGAGGGGGTGGCAGAATTTGGTGCAAAAACCAGTCTGACACACAAACACCCATCTTGAATGCTTGAGTACAGCAACTCCAGGGCCTGAGCCAAGTATCGGCGTGGTAGGGGCCATGGGTAGAGCAATTCCCATGCTGAGGTCAAAAACACACACAGAGGCAGCAGGACTTCTTCAGTAATAGTTTACTGAGTTTTCAAAGCATACAGTTCTCACTGGGTTCCCAGTGAGGCACAAAACTTAGCTCCTGAGAGCAGATCCAGTTTCAGCAGTAAAAAAATACAGCACACAGGATATCTAAGTCAGGCACACAATCCGGCAGAAGGGAGCAAGGGAGGAAAGAGGCTGGAAGGACACAGGGCAATGGATGTGTGTCTTTCGCTTCCTGTCGTCTGGGAGGGAAGTCAGCAACTCGACATCTGCAGGGGCTTCACGAAGAAAAGCTTTCTGCCGGCTGCTTCCAGGCAAATGGGCATCACAGAAACACACACTGAGATCTGTGGTGTATTGCTGTATGAATTGTTTTTTTCTTTTGCTTTTTCAAAAAAAAAATATTCATTTTATAACACAAATAAAGAACACAAACAGAAAAACAAACAATTCAAACAAATTCTTGTCATATCCTTATTTTCCTAAACATTGTTAAGTGGGCTTCTCCAAGTCCCACCTATCTGATTTTCATTTTACTTCATCTTTAGCAGTTTACATATATCATCGTTTCTAACCATATTTTTTTTATATCACACTTAAAATAACTTCACATTTTATCACTTACAAATAATACTTTTTTAAAATACACTATCTTCTACTTTAAACCCTACAGCCTATATCCACTTCCAAAGTTATTTGAAGATTTAAATATTAACATATTTTTTCAAATATTCTTTAAATTTCTTTCAATCTTCTTCCACCATTTCTTCTCTCTGGTCTCGGAGTCTCCCGGTCATTCGGTAAGTTTCATATAGTCCATCATCTTCATCTGCCCTTCTTCGATAGTTGGTAAATCATGTTTCTTCCAATTCTTCGCTAGCAATATTCTCGCAGCAGTTGTGGCATACAGAAAAAAAAGTAACATCCTTTTTGGGAATTTCACTCCCCACTATACCAAGTAAAAAGGCTTCTGGTTTTTTAACAAATGTGTTTTTCAATACTTTTTTCAGTTCATTATAAATCCTTTCTCGGAAGTCTTTTACCTTGGGGCACGTCCACCACATGTGGTAAAAGGTTCCTTCTATCTCTTTACATGTCCAGCATTAATTATCATGAGTATGATACATTTTTCCTAACTTCACTGGTGTTAAATACCATCTATACATCATTTTCATCAATTTTTCACTTAATGCGTTACAAGCTGTAAATTTGATTCCTTTTCCCCACAATTTCTCCCAATCTATCATCATGATATTGTGCCCCACATCCCTGGCCCATTCAATCATTACAGATTTCACTTGTTCATCTTTTGTATGCCATTCCAGCAATAAATTATACATCTTAGATAGGTTTTTTGGTTTTGTATCTAATAATTCCATTTCCAGTTTGGATTTCTCTGTTTGAAAACCAATTTTCTTGTCCATTTTAAACACTTCATTTATCTGGATGTACTGGAACCAATCATCTAATTTATCTTTCAACTGATCATAAGATTTCAATCTAAATTGGTCCCCTACTTCCATCAGAATAGCATTATACTTCAACCACGTATCTTTCATATTCAACCTTTTATGGGTCTTAGCTTTCAATGGTGAGCCAAATCACTTCTTTTTCAAGGGTTCTCGCGATGCGTCAGGGAATGGTCTGAAGCTGAGTATGGGGGAATGCATTCTCAGGCAGATCAGCTTTCCTGGTGAGGCAAAGAAGAAGGGCTACCCCTATGCTATCCATATAATCAGTTATCAGTAATCAATATATTCATATATGCTTACACATAATCAAGGCTTACAGTATTTTATAATCCATTTTGAATCAAAGGGAAGCTGTGCCTTAGCTAACTGCAAACTGCTTGAAACAGCAAAGTTAGGAGCCGACCTTTCCCCTACAAACATCTGTGTACCCTGGACAAGGGGAAGTCGTGAATCAGAGATACTGGTACAAAATCCCCTCAGATACAGGCTAAATTAATCCACAGAACAGGAAGAGCAAAACCACAAAATCTCCAAACTCCCTGTCCTGTCATAACTAGGGGAGAGGTTAGACAGAGCGTCACTGCAAGCATCGGAAAGCAGAACTAGAACTCCGTGCTTGACCAGTGCTTGACCAGGAGCTGGTAGCGTGGCAAGGAGCTTGCTAATTGGCTAATTCTCGCTGACAATATCGTGAGTCCCTCATGGTTGTCTCATGATCTATGATTTGCTGTGATCTGCTCAGGTATAAAGACCTCTGGATTTCTGTCAGTCGGGGTCCCAGTTCCTTTTGGAAGAGATTCCAAACTGGGTCCTTATTGCCTGGCAATAAGCTTCACCTTCTTATTCTCCATTGCTGAGTCTGCCTGATCCTTATTTAACACCAAGCGAGTACCTGCTTACGTTCACGTGCTTCACTGGGGGCTGGAGGGGGGGAATTCTCCCCCCTCTTTTCCAGTGGTCTCAGAAGCAGGGAGTGACACCGATACAGAGCAGATTAGACAGGAGTTGCCTAGCTAAGAGATAATGACAAGAGAAACAGACTCAGCTGGCCCAGAAGCAGGAATACGGATTTCTTTGGAGTTCATTGCTGGGAAGAAGAGTGGACTCTAAGAGGAACATGTCCCGCGTTCCATACATCTAAATGGTTTCTCCCATGTGAGAGTCCCTAGATGTTTCTTAAACATTCCATTATAATTAAATCACTTTCTGTAATCTTTCCATTTAAACTGCTTCTCCTCATGTCTGTTGATGGTTTGTAGGGGTTCAGCTCTTAAACTTCATCCTGTGCATGAGTCTGTTGATTTTGAACTTCCACTAGAACTGGACCTCTACCTCTGTCTAACTTCCTGACACTTATACGGTTTGTCTCTTGTGTGAGTTTGTTAATGTAAATCAAGGGTTCCACTCTGACTGAAGCTCCTTCCAGAGGCCAAACATTTAAATGGTTTCTCTGATGTGGGTCTGCTGATGTTTTCTAAAACTTCCATTGCGACTGAAGCTCTTTCCGCAATCCATACATTCATATGGTTTCTCCCCTGTGTGAGTCCGTTGATGTGTTGTAAGGGCTCCATTATCACGAAAGTTCTTTCCGCACTCCATACATTTACATGGTTTCTTCCCCGTGTGAGTCTGTTGATGTCTTCTAAGGGTTGAATTATCACTAAATCTCTTTCCGCACTCCATACATTCATATGGTTTCTTCCCTCTATGAGTCCGCTTGTGTAATTTAAGGTTTCCATTCCGACTGAAGCTCTTTCCACACTCCATCCATTTAAATGGTTTTTCACCCGTGTGAGTACGCTGGTGTAATTTAAGGTTTGTATTCTGACTAAAGCTCTTTCCGCATTCCGTGCATTTAAAAGGTTTCTCCCCTGTGTGAGTCAGTTGATGCATATTGAGCTGCCCACTCTGACTGAATTTCCTTCCGCACCCCATGCATTTATATGGTTTTTCCCCTGTGTGAGTGCGTTGATGTGTTTTAAGTTGTCCATTAGCACTAAAGCTCTTTCCACACACCATACATTCAAATGGTTTCTCCCCTGTGTGAGTCCGTTGATGTTTTCCATTATCACTAAAGCTCTTTCCACACACCATACATTCAAATGGTTTCTCCCCTGTGTGAGTCTGTTGATGTCTTCTAAGGGTTTCACTGAAACCGAAGCTCTCTCCGCACTCCTTACATTCATATGGTTTTTCCCCTGTGTGAGTCTGTTGATGTCATCTAAGGGTTGCATTGAAACTGAAGGTCTTTCCACACTCCATACATTCATATGGTTTCTCCCCTGTGTCAGTCCATTGATGTGTTCTAAGGGTTCCATTATCACTAAATCTCTTTCCACACTCCATACATTTAAATGGTTTCTCCCCTGTGTGAGTCCGATGGTGTGATTTAAGGTCACCATTCTGACTGAAGCTCTTTCTGAAGTCTGTAGATGTATATTTAGTTGTCCACTGTGACTGAAGCGCTTTTCACATTCCATACATTCATATGGTTTTTCACCCGTGTGAGTACGCTGGTGTAATTTAAGGTTTGTATTCCGACTAATGCTCTTTCCGCATTCCATACATTTAAAAGGTTTCTCCCCTGTGTGAGTCCGTTGATGTATATTGAGGTGTCCACTCTGACTGAAGTTCTTCCCGCACTCCTTGCATTTGAATCTGTTCTTTCCCATGTGAGAAGGCTGATGTGTTCTATCAGTGAAAGTCTTTCCACACTCCACACCTTTAAATGGTTTCTCCCCTTTTTGGGTTTGTTTATGTGAGCTATGTGTGCTCATTCAATGAAACATATTCCACATTTCACACATTTTAATGTCTATATCTTATGAAACCAAATGTGGTCTTTCCCCTGGAAGTCTGACTGTCTTCTCCATGACCTTCCTCAGAGTGGGAGGAAAGGAAATCCTGTTTGGGTTTCAAGGAAGAGAACAAAGGAAAAGAGAGCATATCAGATGCAATTAGCACCACCTCATATTTCAACATATCCTACATTTTCCCGCATCCTACCCAGGTTCTGAATTTTTAGGAAATAAAAATGCAATGTCATCACATGATAGTAATGCATCAGCAACCTTTCATAATCCTTAATCATCATTAATAAAGCAGCATGATCTTGGAAAACAGGCTTTCACATCAATTGTTTCCTCACAAGGAAAGGCAGTTGCTCTCTGTCCATGAAAAGGCCCTCTTTTTCTCAGGTCCATCGTTCCTTTGGACATTTCCCATCCTCAGCATCATAATCCTTCATCCACCTCTAGATCTTCATGAGTCACCTTCACAGTCCCAATGGCTTCAAGAGGTCCAAGTGGACCATTTTGGGAGACCCAGGTCTAAGTCTTTTCCAGGGACTGTGGTCTGGGTCAGTCAGAGAACTAGTGACAAGGCTTGGTGCTGGGGGTCAGCTGAATGGGTGCTCAGGGAAGCTCCTGTTCTTGGAGATGGACCTCCGTCTACATGCCTCACATTGCATGGAGAGAGCAGGGGAAGCAGAAGGAAAGCTAAAAAAGCCAATGCAATTCTGGGCTGCATCAATAGGAGTATAGTTTCTAGGTCAAGGGAAGTAATAGTGCCACTGTATTCTGCTCTGGTCAGACCTCACCTGGAGTACTTTGTCCAGTGCTGGGCACCACAGTTCAAGAAGGACACTGACAAACTGGAACGTGTCCAGAGGAGGGCAACCAAAATGGTCAAAGGCCTGGAAATGATGCCTTATGAGGAACAGCTAAGGGAGCTGGGAATGTTTAGCCTGGAGAAGAGGAGGTTAAGGGGTGATATGATAGCCATGTTCAAATATATAAAAGGATGTCACTTAGAGGAGGGAGAAAGGTTGTTTTCTGCTGCTCCAGAGAAGCGGACACGGAGCAATGGATCCAAACTACAAGAAAGAAGATTCCACCTAAACATTAGGAAGAACTCCGTGACAGTAAGAGCTGTTCGACAGTGGAATTTGCTGCCAAGGAGTGGGGTGGAGTCTCCTTCTTTGGAGGTCTTTAAGCAGAGGCTTGACAACCATATGTCAGGAGTGCTCTGATGGTGTTCCTGCTTGGCAGGGGGTTGGACTCGATGGCCCTTGTGGTCTCTTCCAACTCTATGATTCTATGATTCTATGATTCTATGAAAGCAGGTGGCGCATGGGAATCTCAGATGGAAACACCCGCCCCCATTGCTGCTTATAATAATGATGTGCTGCCTGATCACGTGCCCCTCTGCTGACACAGAACTATCCTAATCTGGCACTGACAAAGCTGGATATTAAAGGCAAGGAGATAACTGTACTTAGTGGAAACGTCAACCTTGAATATGTAGTATTGATTCATTAACAACCTGAAGTTGTGTTATTTCTTGAGATATTAATTTATTCCTGATCTGTCTTAAATATTATAATTATAGGATGTCTTGGGGTGTTACGGGAGCAGTAGTACTTTTGGTGGAGGAAATGTAGTCCACCTTCTGCACCCTGCACTCAGCTCTCACCTGTGGCTTTCAGAAGCTGTCAGCATGCAAAATGGGCTGCAATCCCAGGAACGGCTTCAACCGGCCGATTAAACCAGGTGAGGATACCTGATGGGTCTCAAATCCTTGGTGGGTTGGGGAATTCTGCTGCAGGTGAAGGCAGGCCCTGGTGGATGGAGAGGAGGAGAACAACAGTGAATCCCACAGTCTAGAAGGCAGATTCTGCCCATGCTGCAGAGGAAAGTGAAGGGCACATGGGATCGTCAACCGGGGAAGGGAGCCGATCAATAAGGAAAGCTCTGGTCCTAAACCTTAATTGCCTCGTGAGTTATCTTCAGGAGAAGAAAAAGCTGTGGAGGAAAACCTACACAAATCCAGAGTGGAGTCTCTATGACAGTTGGATGGTGCCCTGCACACCTCCTTCCAGCCACTCCTGCAGCCAAGCTGGTGCCAAAAGTACTGCTCTGCTTTCCTTGGGACCATATAAGCCAGGCTGAGAAGGGGGTCTTGTTGTCTAGGCAGCCCAGGATCCACAAACACACTGCCCAGGCAGTGCTGCTAACACAGCAGTTTCAGGCAGAGAGATGAGCTCAGACCTGTGTATCAAAGTCTCTCCGATGTAGAACAAGGAAAACAGAAGCACTATTTACATCATACGTCACTGTAAAGGTATTCAAGATATTTGTCTTTTGAAGAAAAGACCGCCAATTATCCAATGGCCCCTTCAAAACTAATGAACGTCTTGTGCCTGGAGCTTTTGTGGGCTGCAGGACCAGGAAAGCTTCTGCCACCATTATCCTTCCAATTGGGATTCAGGCCTCATCATGGGACGGAAACTGCCCTAGTTGCGCTGCTTGATGATCTCTGATGGGCTAGAGACAGAGGAGGAAGCTCTTTCCTGGTTCTGCTGGATCTCTCAGCGGCTTTGGAGACCTTTGACCATGGTGTCCTTCTGGACCCTCTAGGGGAGCTGGGGGCCCTGCTATGCAGTAGTTCCCCTCCTTCCTCCTGGGCCATGTACAGAAAGTGGTGTTGGGGGATGAGTGTTCAGACCCTTGGGTGCTCACTTGTGGGGTGCCTCAGGGCTCCATCCTCTCCCCCATGCTTTTTAATATCTATATGAAGACGCTGGGAGAGATCATCAGGGGGTTTGGGTTGGGTGTTCCCCAGTATGTGGATGATACCCAGCTCTTCCTCTCTTTTAAATTGGAACCAGTGAAGGTCCTGTGTGAGTGTCTGGAGGCAGTTGGAGGATGGATGGCGGCTAACAGATGGAGGCTGAATCTTGACAAGGCAGAAATACTGTCCCGGGGGAAAGGGGGCAGGCAGGTGTGGGAGACTCCCTAGACCCGATGGGGGTAACTGTGCCCCCAAAGGACCAGGTGAGCAACCTGCGGGTCATTTTGGACTCACAACTGTCCATGTAGGCACAGGTCAATTCTGTGTCCAGGGCAGCTGTCTGCCAGTTCCATCTGGTATGCAGGATGAGACCCTACCTGCCCGCAGACTGCCTCTCCAGAGTGGTGCATGCTCTGGTGATCTCCCGCTTGGACTACTGCCATGTGCTACATGGGGCTACCTTTGGAGGTGACTCATAAACTGCAACTAATACAGAATGCGGCAGCTAGACAACAGAATAGGAGCAGCCGTTGAGACAACATAACACCAGTCCGAAAGGATCTTCACTGACTCCCAGTACATTTCTGAGCACAATTCACATTGTTGGTGATGACCTTTAATTTGTCTCCTCCCCCATCGCTCAGTCTGTACACTGAGGTCCTCCTTCGAGGGTCTTCTGCTGGTTGAACCCCCACCCCCATTGAGAAGCGAAGTTACAGGGAAGCAGGCAGAGGGCAAGGAAATGGGCAACTATCTGACATTTGGAAGACAGCTGAAGGCAGCCCTGTATAAGGAGGTTTTTAATGTCTGATGTTTTACTGTCTTTTATATGTACTGTAAGCTGCCCAGAGTGACTGGGGAAACCCAGCCAGATGGGTTGGGTAGAAATACTACAATCATTCTTATTATATTGTGATTCTTTTGTAGTTATTTTTGAATTTGTACTGCAATATCAGCTCACGAAATGTCATGGGTGGAGAAACTCACAGGGTTGCCGTAAACTGTAATCCCACCCACAACTTCTCATTCACATACAGTCTGTAAATTTGGGAGGTCGCACACCTCACCTGTGCTAATACTGGCACTCTTTGGCCTGTATAAGCATACCTTGTATGTAGAGCCTCCAGCCACAGGCACTGTCTACCATGAAAATGTCTCATTTGACTGGGAAGAATCTCAGCTTGTCAGTCACTCTGACACTGCCTACAAAGAATAAGAGGAACAGAAATGCCTTTGAGGTGCAACTTCTGTATCAATCCAGAGAGCCATTCCATGGACTCTGCACCACTGTTTCTGATGACAGGTGTACATTATCCTCATCCTCAATGAAGCAGGCAGTGTGATACAGAAAGGGGGGGCATGCCTTCCTTCACCCTTCTGTCGACCACCAGAATGTCCGAGGCGATGACCTCAAGGGCTCCCAACCCCACATGGACCCCTCAGCCCCCACACCGTTTCACAAGCACCACACTCTACCCCAAGTCCCATAAATAAAGTGCCTCTCCTACACCGATCCGCTATTACGGGCGAAATAAGACCAAATTCTTATGCCTCTTTCCCGCTCTATCTTTACTGTGGGTTGACCGTACAAAGCTGTATCCCCCATTCCTTTCAATGGCTGCGTTCTACCCAATCAGAACCATGCATTCATCTTTGCAGAGCTAGCTCAGCGAGCTCCTGCACGCCTCATTTAACCTCTTGACAAGCTGCTGACGGCTCCCCGCTGGGAGAACAATGGAATTGAAACTTGTGAACTCATAAAAGTGTCAAATCTTGCTACAATGTATCTATTCTGTTTCCAACTTCAATCACCAATATCAAATGGACTAAAATGGACTAAAATCTTTAGAAATTTGTATAAAATCAACCACAACTCCGATTTCCTTGCTTTTGGTGTCAATCGGCTCAGTCCCCTCAGGACTCCATGACACCTCCCCTGCCTCCATGATCCTCCGAGTGAGGCGTCACGTACTCAGGAAGACCCTAATCCGGTCAAATCGCTCTGCCAAACCCTTCCTCTGGGCGATGCCAGGTGACAGACCATGCATACATGGACCATTGTCTTCTCATCACCGGCACTCAGGAAGTGCTTATCTGTGCATATCTCTGGCTCTGCATATTCCCCCCTCCCTGCTCCATATGTTAATCTGATGTAACCCAACCTTTCTTTAATGTATTCATGATGTAACTATGATGTATTTTGCACTGTATTCTGGGACATGGAGGAAAATTTCAAAAGCTCATGTCACCCCTTTCTCGGGGTTCAATCTCGTCTTGAACCTGTTGCGCAATAAACTTGGATCTTCTGCAGTTTGCTCCTGTCTCTGGCTGAGCTCATTTTCTTCCGCAGGGACCCGCGGACCTAGTCCGACGAGCTGGGTGGCAGAGTAGCCCCGCACCCAGATTTTACCATAACACAGTGGAAAAGACAATAAAGATGGAAGCCTGAGAGACAGGAATGGTTCCTGGCTGCTTCCTGGTGGGATTGTGGAAACAGAGAACGGCTTCTGAAAAGGGCTCTCCCCTCCCCTCTTCCTCTCCGGATTTAAACCACTGCGTCTGGACAGGGCAGGTGTTTATGGGGTGGGAAGAGCATGGAGCTTGCAGGAAGGAAGGGGTGGGGGGACTGGACCCCCCACTTTCCAGGGATCCCTCTCTGGTGGCCTTGAAGGGTGGCCAATTCCTGGGCGGGAGGGATAAGGCAAGGCGGCCCCTCCGGAGAATCCCCGCGTCCGCCACGTGGACCTCTCCCTACAGACTGTTCTTCCTTTCTCTCTCTCTCTCTCTCTCTCATTGCTGCCCTTCCCAGCCCCACGGATGCTCCCCCCCGACTTCCTCGACCCCTTCCCTCTTTCATTGAGTCTCCACTGCACCCAGAGGCTGCCTTGGCGGGGCTCACCCCTCGCCTTGCGTGCCCCATCTCTCCATTCAGAGCACCCCCCCAACACAAGCCACATGGGGGTCGCTATCCAGGCGTCCCTCGCGCCCGTTAACCCATTCATGACCCGCCTTTCTCCATGCGGAGCCCACAGGGCCCCAGGGATGCCTGCGTGGGGGAAACGGGGCAAGTGGACCCTTGTGGGGACCCCCTGGTTCGGGGGTCCATGTCCGCCCCCCAGCCAAGGAAAGCTCCGTTCGCAGCACTCGTGCGGGGATCCAGGTCCTGCCGGTGGGACTCGCGAAAGGCGCTTTGGGGAGCTGGCTGGGGTCTCTGGGTCCTTTTCTCCCCCCCCCCCACGCGACCCCTTTACCTCTTCATCCTCACTCCAGATTCTCCTTTCCTTTCCTTTCCTCGGGGTGGGGTGGGGGGTTTCCCTGCTGCCCCTCCTACCCTCTCCGAAAGCACGCGCCCCTAGAGCTCCGGCGCAGAACAGCAATCCGGAGTGGAAGCTCCACTTCCGGAAGAAACAGGCAGGTTGGGAGGGGGGCTCATCCTCCTCCCATTCCTGGAAGAGAGGTCGGATGGCGAGGAGGAGGAGCAACATATTGGGGAGCGGATTTGGGGTTGTGGGGGCGGGGTGAGGGAAGGAAGTGCCGGGAGGGGAGGGGAGGAAGAGGGGGGAGGGAGAGGAAGGTTTCCCTCCTCCCCTCTTCCATCTGTGGATCAGGAGAGCGGGGGAGGGGCTGATCCCGGAATCCAATTACAAAGTGGGGTTCCCCCCAATGTTTACATTGCAAAATCCTTCCCTCCTCCACTCTACTTGAGAGCCAGTGTGGTGTAGTGGTTAAGAGCGGTAGACTCGTAATCTGGGGAACCGGGTTCGCGTCTCCGCTCCTCCACATGCAGCTGCTGGGTGACCTTGGGCTAGTCACACTTCTCTGAAGTCTCTCAGCCCCACTCACCTCACAGAGTGTTTGTTGTGGGGGAGGAAGGGAAAGGAGAATGTTAGCCGCTTTGAGACTCCTTAAAGGGAGTGAAAGGCGGGATATCAAATCCAAACTCTTCTTCTTCTTCTTCTACGCCACGAGCCGTGCGTCCGTGTTTTAGGTATTGGTGCTCTTCAAACCAGGAGGGGGGGACAGTTATATGACTCCCCCAAAACCCCAAGTCCCGACCACAGCCTCTGACTAAGGCCAGGACAATGACCATTTGCACAGGCACCTTCCATGCACAGCAGCAAAGAGGCTCAGAAAAGCAGCCTATACAATTGTAGCAAGAATGTACCATGAATCGTACTGTGTCCTCCGACTCTCCAATAATGTATAGTGATACGGAAGGAGGGGGGCATGCCTTCCTTCACCCTTCTGTCGACCACCAGAATGTCCGAGGCGATGACCTCAAGGGCTCCCAACCCCACATGGACCCCTCAGCCCCCACACCGTTACACAAGCACCACACTGTACCCCAAGTCCCATAAATAAAGTGCCTCTCCTACACCGATCCGCTATTACGGGCGAAATAAGACCAAATTCTTATGCCTCTTTCCCGCTCTATCTTTACTGTGGGTTGACCGTACAAAGCTGTATCCCCCATTCCTTTCAATGGCTGCGATCTATCCAATCAGAACCATGCATTCGCTTTGCAGAGCTAGCTCAGCGAGCTCCTGCACGCCTCATTTAACCTCTTGACAAGCTGCTGACGGCTCCCCGCTGGGAGAACAATGGAACCGAAACTTGTGAACTCATAAAAGTGTCAAATCTTGCTACAATGTATCTATTCTGTTTCCAACTTCAATCACCAATATCAAATGGACTAAAAAAGGACTAAAATCTTTAGAAATTCGTATAAAATCAACCACAACTCCGATTTCCTTGCTTTTGGTGCCGATCGGCTCAGTCTCCTCAGGACTCCATGACACCTCCCCTGCCTCCATGATCCCTCGAGCGAGGCATCACGTACTCAGGAAGACCCTAATCCGGTCAAATCGCTCTGCCAAGCCTTTCCTCCGGGCAATGCCAGGTGACAGACCATGCATACATGGACCATTGTCTTCCCATCACCGGCACTCAGGAAGTGCTTATCTGTGCATATCTCTGGCTCTGCATATTCCCCCTCCCTCCTCTATATGTTAATCTGGTGTAACCCAACCTCTCATTAATATATTCATGATGTAATCCGTGTAACCCAACCTCTCTTTAATGTATTCATGATGTAATTATGATGTATTTTGCACTGTATTCTGGGACATGGAGGGAAGTTTCAAAAGCTCATGTCACCCCTTTCTCGGGGTTCAATCTCATCTTGAACCTGTTGCGCAATAAACTTGGATCTTCTGCAGTTTGCTCCTGTCTCCGGCTGAGCTCATTTTCTTCCGCAGGGCTTAGTCTGACGAGCTGGGTGGCAGAGTAGCCCCGCACCCAGATTTTACCGTAACATATAGAAAACTGAAGAAACGTCAAATAATCGCCCAAAGTCAACGGTTTGATGGATTTCCTGGGTTCCAATGCCTAATGACTCCTCTGGAATTGGGGTCTCCAGGGCTCCCCGACTCCATAATCCCTTAGGAGGCAGGAGGCGATCAAGGGCAGCACATGCCCCAGGAAGAAATCCATCGGGATGGTGGATTGAATCCTGATGCATTCAGAGGAGAAGCGGAGGAAAACCTTGCAAGCTAGGCGGATGGGTAAATACTATTATGGTTCTTTGAGGAAGGGGGTAGTTAAAACGTGCGGGGAAACTGGGGTTATTGAGAGGGGTAGGTGATGGGCTCATGTTTCTAAATTCCAAACACTCCTACTTTGTGACACATTTGTTATGTATGGATGATGCTGTGAAAAAATGTATTGTGGGAAATGGGGAGAGGTCTTAAAAGTTCATGCAACCATATGCAATAGTTGTAATAATTTTAAGGTCTAATATATATAAAATAAATGTTCCAAGCAAGTCTTGTAAACAAAAAATCTGCCCTTTCCCCCTTATGGGGTATCCAAGAGCCCATACAGAGTCCTTACGTAGGTTCCCTATTGGTAGGAGAAAATAACAGAGGCCAACCAGAGAATATTGAGAAGCAAAGCAGCTAGTAAGCTTGATCTTTATCGATCTGTTGCAACAGGGTCCTCACTCACCACACGCAGGAGGGAGGAGGAACCCAGAACAATGGCACACAAGGCCTTCTATAGACATTTTAAATGCCCTGCCCTGGAGCTCAAGACCACCCCTCCATACATAATACATACTTCACAGAAGGGGTGTAACCCAAGACCACTCCCTGAGATACATTATTCCTGCATCACAGAAAGGGCGGTTTACAGCAGAAATCTGAGTGGTTTGTTTAGGTCCTGTGTGCCACGTTACCTGTTTAATGGTCACTTGATTGGATTGCCTGGGGAGCCTGGCCAGTCTTTTGTGATGATAAATACTTAGTTCCTGTGCCAGGTCACAGCCTCACACCCTATTCATATCTTAAATGAGCCCTTAAGACAGGATTTGTGAAGGAAAAGACAATGGGGAGGCTCCTCGCATCTCTTCCTCTCTTTTAAATTGGAACCAGTGAATGTAGTGAATTCCCTGTGTGCCTTTCTGGAGGTGGTTGGAGGATGGATGGCAGCTAAGGGATTGAGGTTGAATCCAGACGAGGGAGGCAGGTGTAGGGGAGGCAGTTCTGGGGGACTCCCGGTTCCTGATGGCGTAACAGTGCCCCTAAAGGACCGGGTCATCACCGTTGAGTATTGGGGTCAGTGCCCCTATTCCTCCAGCAGAAGCGATTGTGGGGCTTCCTTGCTCACTTCCATTCAGCTCTGCCATTCCCAAATGGCACAGAAGGATGGGGGGGGGGGACACATATTATTAAACGAACACTCCTGTGAATGGAGAGAAGCAGAAAGTGGAGTCCCCTATAGATCAGTATTGGGACCTGTGGCTTTTCAACTTGTTCATAAATGATCTAGAGTTAGGAGTGAGAGGGAGGGGGCAAAGTTTGCTGGTGGCAGTAAATTGTCCAGGGTTGTTCAAACAAAGAGAGATTGCAAGGAGCACCTAAAAGAGCTCTCCAAACGGGGTGATTGGGCTGAAAACACAGTTCATTGTCAACGAGATTAAAGTGAGGCATGTTGGGGGGCAGGGAAACACCCTCTTAATATCATGTGCAGGATCATGGGGTCTGAACCGGGTTTCTCTGTGTGCTCTAGGAGACCAGGGGAGAGGGGAGCTGGTCGCAGCAGGAGGGGGAGTCTTCCTGGATGCTTCAGCAGCCTGCCTCCTCTTGGTCTCCTAGCCCCCCTCCTCTCCTCCCTCTGAGACTGAACTGCTCTCTGCCCCAGCCTCTTCCTGCTCACCAAACACCTCCCCTCCCATTCTGCTCCCTTTTCTCCCTCTTTCTGCTCATTGCCATCACACCACCCTGTCCCCCAGATCTGAGCCTTCTTCCCTTGTGGGTCCCCCAGCTGGTGCCTCACCCCCCACCGCACTGCACCCCTCTAGTTCATGACAGCAGCAACAGCAACAACAGCAAAATCAGTATGATAGTAATATGCACTGTGGTCCTCTGGCAGGAAAACTCCCTAGCAGCATGATTGACTAATAACTTCTGGGACTATGGAAAAGTACTATCTTCTCCAAACCCCAGAATAAGCAGGAGCTCTGGGGTTGCCCCATGGGGTTCATGAGTGAATATGGGACCCACCAGGAGACTTCCCTCGTACCTGCAGCCCCTCCTTCCCCATCCTGCAATTAGGCTGGGGGGGAAATCTCCCATTAAATTACATTATTTTATGAAGTTCTTGTGAAGAAGCATTGTTTGAAGATCATGGGGTGGTGGAGGTCAGAGAGTTTGGTGCAAAAACCAGTCACAAACAAATGCACTGCTCTTGTATGCTTGAGCACAGGAACTCCAGGGCATGAGCTAAGCAGCAGCAGGGTAGGGGCCATATGTAGAGCAATTACCATGTTGAGGTCAAAAACACACACAGAGGCAGCAGGACTTCTTCAGTAAAAGTTTACTGAGCTTCCAGAGCATACAGTTATGAATGGGACCCCAGTGAGGCACAAAACTTTGCTTCTGAGACCAAATCCAGTTTCAGCAGTAAAAAAATACAGCACACAGGATATCTAAGTCAGGTACACAAACCAGCAGAAGGAAGCAAGGGAGGAAAGAGGCTGGAAGGACACAGGGCAATGTGTTTTGTCAGGGAATGGACTAAAGCAGAATATGGAGGAATGCATTCTCAAGGAGATCAGCTTTCCTCAGAAGAAGACATGGAGGGTGGAAATTTGTCCCCCTCATTTCCAGTGGTCTCAGAAGCAGGGAGAGACACAGACACAGAGCAGATTAGACAGGAGTTACCTAGTTCGAGATAATGACAACACTCAGCTGGGCCCTGAAGCCGGATTTCCTCTGAGTTCATTGCTGCGCAGAAGAGGGGCCTCTGATAGGAACATGTCCCGCACTCCATACATCTAAATGGGTTCTCCCTTGTGAGACTCCCTAGATGTTTCTTAAACACTCCATTATAACTAAAGCACTTTCTGCAATCTTTCCATTTAAACTGGTTCTCCTCTATGAGTTTGTTGTAGGGTGTCAAATCTAAAAGTTCTTCCTGTCCATGAGTCTGTTGATGTAGGACTTCTACTAGGACTGAAACTCTATCACCTTTCCTGACATTTAAATGGTTTGCCTCTTGGGTGAGTTTGTTGACGAAAATCAAGGGTTCCACTCTGACTGAGGCTCCTTCCACACACTGTAGGTTTAAATGGTTTCTCGCATCCGTGTCTGCTGATGTTTTCTAAGACTTCTACTTTTACGGAAGCTCTTTCCACACTCCATGTATTTAAAAGGATTCTCCCCTGTGTGAGTTGTTGATGTGTTCTAAGTGTATCACTCTGACTGAAGCTCTTTCCGCACTCCATACATTTATGGTTTTTCACCCATGTGAGTCTGTTGATGTGCTCTAAGAGAAGAATTGAAAGTAAAGCTCTTTCCACACTCCATACATTTAAATGGTTTCTCTCCTGTGTGAGTCTGTAGATGAATATTGAAGTGTCCACTCTTATTGAAGCTCTTTCCGCACTCCATGCATTTGAATGGTTTCTCCCCTGTGTGAGTCCGCTGGTGTACTTTAAAGTTTCCATTCTGACTGAAGCTCTTTCCACACTATACGTTTATATGGTTTTTCACCGGTGTGAGTCCGTTGATGTGTTCTGAGGGATGCATTGAAAGTAAAGCTCTTTCCACACTCCATACATTTAAAATGTTTTTCCCCTGTGTGAGTCTGCTGGTGTAATTTAAGGTTACTATTCTGACTGAATTTCTTTCCACACTCTATACATTAATATGGTTTCTTCCCTGTGTGAGTCCGCTGGTGTAATTTAAGGTGTCCATTCTGACTGAAGCTCTTTCCGCATTCCATACATTTAAATGGTTTCTCCCCTGTGTGAGTCCGTTGATGTGTTCTAAGGCTTCCATTATGACTGAAGCACTTTCCACACTCCAGGCAGTTAAATGGTTTCTCCCCTGTGTGAGTCTGTTGATGTTTTCTAAGGGATGCATTGAAAGTAAAGCTCTTTCCGCACTCCATACATTTAAATGGTTTCTCTCCTGTGTGAGTTTGTAGATGTATATTGAGGTGCCCACTCTGACCGAAGCTCTTTCCACACTCCATACATTTATATGGTTTCTCCCCTGTGTGAGTTTGTAGATGTATATTGAGGTGTCCATTCTGACTAAAGCTCTTTCCACACTCCAGGCAGTTAAATGGTTTCTCCCCTGTGTGAGTCCGTTGATGTCTTCTAAGGGATGTATTGAAAGTAAAGCTCTTTCCACACGCCATACATTTAAAACGTTTCTCCCCTGTGTGAGTTTGTAGATGTATATTGAGGTGTCCACTCTGACTGAAGCTCTTTCCACACTCCATACATTTATATGGTTTCTCCCCTGTGTGAATCCGCTGGTGTAATTTAAGGTCTCCATTCTTACTGAAGCTCTTTCCGCACTCTATACACTTATATGGTTTCTCCCCTGTGTGAATCCGCTGGTGTAATTTAAGGTTTCCATTCTGACTGAAGCTCTTTCCGCACTCTATACACTTATATGGTTTTCCACCTGTGTGAATCCGTTGATGTATTCTAAGGGATGCAATGAAAGTAAAGCTCCTTCCGCACTCCATACATTTAAAAGGTTTCTCCCCTGTGTGAGTTTGTAGATGTATATTGAGGTGTCCACTCTGACTGAAGCTCTTTCCACACTCCATACATTTATATGGTTTCTCCCCTGTGTGAGTTTGTAGATGTATATTGAGGTGTCCATTCTGACTAAAGCTCTTTCCACACTCCAGGCAGTTAAATGGTTTCTCCCCTGTGTGAGTCCGTTGATGTCTTCTAAGGGATGCATTGAAAGTAAAGCTCTTTCCACACTCCATACATTTAAAACGTTTCTCCCCTGTGTGAGTTTGTAGATGTATATTGAGGTGTCCACTCTGACTGAAGCTCTTTCCGCACTCTATACATTTATATGGTTTCTCCCCTGTGTGAATCCGCTGGTGTAATTTAAGGTCTCCATTCTGACTGAAGCTCTTTCCGCACTCTATACACTTATATGGTTTCTCCCCTGTGTGAATCCGCTGGTGTAATTTAAGGTTTCCATTCTGACTGAAGCTCTTTCCGCACTCTATACACTTATATGGTTTTCCACCTGTGTGAATCCGTTGATGTATTCTAAGGGATGCAATGAAAGTAAAGCTCTTTCCGCACTCCATACATTTAAAAGGTTTCTCCCCTGTGTGAGTTTGTAGATGTATATTGAGGTGTCCACTCTGACTGAAGCTCTTTCCACACTCCATACATTTATATGGTTTCTCCCCTGTGTGAATCCGCTGGTGTAATTTAAGGTCTCCATTCTGACTAAAGCTCTTTCCACACTCAATGCATTTAAATGGTTTCTCCCCTGTGTGAGTCCGTTGATGTGTTCTAAGGGATGCATTGAAAGTAAAGCTCTTTCCACACTCCATACATTTAAAACGTTTCTCCACTGTGTGAGTCTGCTGGTGTAAGTTAAGGTTACTATTCTGACTGAATTTCTTTCCACACTCTATACATTTATATGGTTTCTTCCCTGTGTGAGTCCGCTGGTGTAATTTAAGGTTTCCATTCTTACTGAAGCTCTTTCCGCACTCTATACATTTATATGGTTTCTCCCCTGTGTGAATCCGCTGGTGTAATTTAAGGTTTCCATTCTGACTGAAGCTCTTTCCGCACTCTATACATTTATATGGTTTTCCACCTGTGTGAATCCGTTGATGTATTCTAAGGGATGCATTGAAAGTAAAGCTCTTTCCACACTCCATACATTTAAAAGGTTTCTCCCCTGTGTGAGTTTGTAGATGTATATTGAGGTGTCCACTCTGACTGAAGCTCTTTCCACACTCCATACATTTATATGGTTTCTCCCCTGTGTGAGTCCGTTGATGTGTTCTAAGGGATGCATTGAAAGTAAAGTTCTTTCCACACTCCATACATTTAAAACGTTTCTCCCCTGTGTGAGTCTGCTGGTGTAATTTAAGGTTACTATACTGACTGAAGGTCTTCCCACACTCCCTGCATTGGAATCCTTTCTTGCCCATTTGAGTCCGCTGATGTCTTCTAAGTTTTCCACTATCAGTGAAACTTTTTCCAGTCTCCATTCCTTTAAATGGTATCTCCCCTTTTGGGGTTTCTTGATGTGAGCTATGTGTGCTCATTCAGTCAGCATATTTCACATTCCACATATTTTAATGACTATTCCTAATGAAACTAAAGGCACCCCATCACCCGGAATTCTGACGTTCTTCTCCATCTCCTTCTTCAGAGTGGGAGGAAAGGGAATCCTGTTTGGTTTTCAAGGAAGAGAACAAAGGGAAAGAGAACACATCAAGCACCATTACCACCTTTTCTTATTTCAACATCTCCTACCTTGTCCAGCCTCCTACCCATGTTCCCAACTTTCAGGAAATGAAAATGCAATGATGTCAAATGATAGTAATGCATCAGCAACCTTTCATAATCCTCAATCATTGTTAATAAAGTAGCATGATCTTGGAATACAGCCTTTTCAAATCAATTTTTAAATCAATTGTTTCCTCACAGGAAAGGCAGCTGCTCTCTGTCCATGAACAGGCCCTCTCTGTCTCCGGTTCATCGTTCCTTTGGACATTTCCCATCCTCAGCATCATACTCCTCCACCCACCCCAGTTTCCACCTCTAGTTCTTCATGAATCACCTGCACAGTCCTATTGGCCTCAGGAGGTCCATATGAACCATTATGTGAGACCCAGCTCTACATCTTTTCCAGGGACTGTGGTCTGGGTCAGCCAGAGAACTAGTGACAAGGTTTGGTGTTTGGGATCAGCTGAATGGGTGCTCAGGGAAGCTCCTGTTCTTGTAGATGGACCTCTATCTGTTAGAATTCCTGCTCCATGATTGCAGTCATAGGATTGTTGTCTTTCACATGACGGTATATGTTTGAGTTGGAAGTGACGGAGACAGGATGTGTGTGTTACAGTGTTCAGTGAAGTGGGACTATTGTCCTTTGTCTTTTTCTCTTTGCTGTCTGATGCTAGAGAGAGAGGGAGCCATGTTGCAGTGCTCTGTGTGTGTTTATATGTAAATAAAGTAGATTAGCCAACATGCTGAGTTGCTGAGGTCTGTCACGTGCAAGCTGCACAAACTCTGTTGATGCCTAAGTGTGCTGGTGTCGGTTGGCATCGGTCGCTGTGATGTTCGGGCTAAAGAAAGCTTATGAAGCTCCTGAAAAAACCGACCAGGAGGGAGAGAACATGCCAGCCGTGCATGTGTCTCTGCCAGGGTCTTACTTGAGTGTAGGCTGATCTCCTGACACTATCTACATGCCTCACATTGCATGGAGAGAGCAGGAGATGCAGAAGGAAAGCAGCTGGAGCATGTGAATCCCAGACAGAAACACCAACCCCAATTGTTCTTTATAATAATGGTGTGCTGCCTGATCTCATGCCCGTCTTCTGACACAGGACTATCCTAATCTGGCACTGAAAAAGCTGGACATTAAAGTCAAGGTGGTAACTGTACTTAGTCAACCTTGAATATGTAGTATTGATTCATTAACAACTTGAAGTTTTGTTATTTCTTGAGATATGAATTTATTCCTGATCTGTCTTGCTACGGAAATTACGGGGGGGGGCACATCTTTAAAGTTAAATATTACAAATATTAAATCTGTCATTGTGGCTAGTTAAAGGTACTTGCACAACTTTAAATTGCCATTCATTTTTTCTTGGTATTAACTCATTTCCCAGTATTTTGCTATTAACATTCTAGCCGATGCTGTCACATCAAGAAACACTCTTTTATTTTCATTTGGGATGTTAGAATGCCAAAACAGATTACTTCAGGTTTCTTAAAATGTGTGTGTCCTAGCATTTATTATTTTTGGTTCCTCATAGGTCATTTGTGTGTGTGTGAATATGTGTGTGTTTTACTTTGGGGACATGTCCATCACATGTTGAAAGACATTTTCATGAAGTTCTTTTATCAGATAGCACATGGTGAATTTTAAGCTTTTTTCATTGTTTCCCCATTTTTTTCAGTCCAGTAGTAATTTGGGCCCATCACCTCCTGGCAAACAGAAGGGGAAGAAATGGAGGCAGTGAGAGATTTTACTTTCTTGGGCTCCATGATCACTGCAGATGGTGACAGCAGTCACAAAATTAAAAGACGCCTGCTCCTTGGAAGAAAGGCGATGGCAAACCTAGACAGCATCTTAAAAAGCAGAGACATAACCTTGCCAACAAAGGTCTGTATAGTTAATGCCATGGTTTTCCCAGTAGTGATGTATGGAAGTGAGAGCTGGACCATAAAGAAGACTGATCGCCGAGGAATTGATGCTTTTGAATCATGGTGCTGGAGGAGAATCTTGAGTGTCCCATGGACTGCAAAAAGATCAAACCTATCCATTCTTAAGGAAATTAGCCCTGAGTGCTCACTAGAAGGACAGATTGTGAAGCTGAGGCTCCAATACTTTGGCCACCTCATGAGAAAAGAAGACCCCTTGGAAAAGACCCTGATGTTGGGAAAGATTGAGGGCACAAGGAGAAGGGGACGACAGAGATGAGATGGTTGGACATTGTTCTTGAAGCTACAAACAGTGGCTGGGGAAGCCCAGCCAGATGGGCGGGGTATAAATAAATTATTATTATTATTATTATTATTATTATTATTATTATTATTATTAACATGAGTCTGACCAAACTGTGGGAGGCAGTGGAAGACAGGAGTGCCTGGCGTGCTCTGGTCCATGGGGTCACGAAGAGTCGGACACGACTAAACGACTAAACAACAACAAGTAATCTGTGTGGTTTTGATAATATCTTTGTATTATTTAATAATGATTCTCTTCTAAATCTGATGTCTTTGTTTCAAGTCCGTTTTCATCTGACTGGTAATCTAATTTTTTGCTTTTTATTTTTTAAACTTTCTTGAATTTTTACCCTTCTCTTTCTGTGCATGTGTATTCTTAGATCATGGACTGCAGTTTCTTGAAGATGGACTTCTGGCAAGCGATGGGCTGCACCTCACAACGGTTGGGAGAAATGTTTTTGCCAAAAATCTCAGAAACCTCATCAGGAGGGCTTTAAACTGACTAATGTGGGGGAGGGAGACAGTGCTCCTGAAGGTAGGAGTCTATCAATTGATGAAGATGATCATCCAAATGTCATAGACCAAATGGAGCAAACAGCACGCAGACCTGGTGGTGGGAGGAAAAAATCCTTAAATAAGAGACACGGGGGAATGATTAATGGACTTCAATGTCTGTACACTAATGCGCAAAGCATGGGAAATAAACAAGATGAGCTTGAGCTCTTGGTACAGCAAACTAAATATGACATAATAGGCATCACTGAAACCTGGTGGGATAAGTCCCACGATTGGAATGTAATAATGGAGGGATACAATCTATTTCAGAGAAACAGACCAGACAAGAAAGGAGGAGGAGTGGCATTATATGTCAGGGATGTGTATACCTGTGAAGAGATCCAAGATTTAGAACCTCAAAGCCAAAGTGAGAGCATTTGGGTCAAAATTAAGGGAGAGAAGAATAAGAGTGACCTCATTGTGGGAGTTTACTATAGATCCCCAAGCCAAACGGAGGACATAGATGATGCCTTCCTGGAACAGATGGCCAAGCATGCAAAAGGAAGGGAGATAGTAGTAATGGGGGACTTCAATTACCCGGATATTTGTTGGATGTCAAACTCAGCCAAGAGCATAAGGTCAAACAGATTCCTCACTGGCCTTGCAGACAACTTCATTGTCCAGAAAGTGGGAGAAGCAACAAGAGGAACAGCCATTTTAGATCTGGTCCTAACCAATGTTGATGACCTGGTTAGTGGGGTAGAAGTGGAAGGATCATTAGGCGCGAGTGATCATGCTCTTCTGAAGTTTACTATACAGCGGAAAGGAGCAGCCAAGCATACTAGGACTCAATTTCTTGACTTTAAGAAAGCCGACTTCATAAAACTTAGGGAAGTGCTGGGTGAGATCCCATGGACAGTAATACTAAAAGGAAAGGGAGTTCATGATGGCTGGGAGTTTGTTAAGAGGGAGATAGTAAAAGCACAACGTCAGGCAATACCAATGAGACGGAAACATGGAAGGTGCCTAAAGAAGCCAGGGTGGCTATCTAAAGAACTTTTAACTGAGTTAAGATTAAAAAAAGGATGTGTACAAAAAATGGAAAAGGGGGGAAACCACCAAAGAGGAATTCAAACAAATAGCCAGCACGTGTAGACACAAAGTCAGAAAAGCTAAAGCACAGAAGGAACTCAGGCTTGCTAGAGAGGTTAAAAGCAACAAAAAGGCTTCTATGGGTATGTTCGTAGCAAAAGGAAGAACAAAGAAACAGTGGGGTCACTCAGAGGAGAAGATGGTGAAATGAAAACAGGGGACACAGAAAGGGCTGAACTCCTCAATGCCTTCTTTGCCTCAGTCTTCTCCGATAAAGAAAACAATGCCCGACCTGAAGAATTTGGAGCAAATGATTCAGCAGAGGAAACACAGCCCAGAATAACTAAGGAGATAGTACAAGAATACTTGCCTAGTTTAGATGTATTCAAGTCTCCAGGGCCAGATGAACTGCATCCAAGAGTATTAAAAGAACTGGCAGATGTGATCTCAGAACCACTGGCAGCCATCTTTGAGAATTCCTGGAGAACAGGCGAAGTCCCGGCAGACTGGAGGAGGGCAAATGTTGTCCCTATTTTCAAAAAGGGGAAAAGAGAGGACCCAAATAATTACCGCCCAGTCAGTCTGACATCAATACCAGGGAAGATTCTGGAGCAGATCATTAAGCAAACAGTCTGTGAGCACCTAGAAAGGAATGCTGTGATCACCAATAGTCAGCATGGATTTCTGAAAAATAAGTCATGTCAGACTAACCTGATCTCGTTTTTGACAGAATTACAAGCCTGGTAGATGAAGGGAACACAGTGGATGTAGCCTACCTTGATTTCAGCAAGGCATTTGACAAGGTGCCCCATGATATTCTTGTAAAGAAGCTGGTAAAATGCGGTCTTGACTATGCTACCACTCAGTGGATTTGTAACTGGCTGACTGACTGAACCCAAAGGGTGCTCATCAATGGTTCCTCTTCATCCTGGAGAAGAGTGACTAGTGGGGTGCCACAGGGTTCTGTCTTGGGCCCGGTCTTATTCAACATCTTTATCAACGACTTGGATGATGGACTCAAGGGCATCCTGATCAAATTTGCAGATGACACCAAACTGGGAGGGGTGGCTAACACCCCAGAGGACAGGATCACACTTCAAAATGACCTTGACAGATTAGAGAACTGGGCCAAAACAAACAAGATGAATTTTAACAGGGAGAAATGTAAAGTATTGCACTTGGGCAAAAAAATGAGAGGCACAAATACAAGATGGGGGACACCTGGCTTGAGAGCAGTACATGTGAAAAGGATCTAGGAGTCTTGGTTGACCACAAACTTGACATGAGCCAACAGTGTGACGCGGCAGCTAAAAAGCCAATGCAATTCTGGGCTGCATCAATAGAAGTATAGCATCTAGATCAAGGGAAGTAATAGTGCCACTGTATTCTGCTCTGGTCAGACCTCACCTGGAGTACTGTGTCCAGTTCTGGGCACCACAGTTCAAGAAGGACACTGACAAACTGGAACGTGTCCAGAGGAGGGCAACCAAAATGGTCAAAGGCCTGGAAACGATGCCTTATGAGGAACGGCTAAGGGAGCTGGGAATGTTTAGCCTGGAGAAGAGGAGGTTAAGGGGTGATATGATAGCCATGTTCAAATATATAAAAGGATGTCACATAGAGGAGGGAGAAAGGTTGTTTTCTGCTGCTCCAGAGAAGCGGACACGGAGCAATGGATCCAAACTACAAGAAAGAAGATTCCACCTAAACATTAGGAAGAACTCCGTGACAGTAAGAGCTGTTCGACAGTGGAATTTGCTGCCAAGGAGTGTGGTGGAGTCTCCTTCTTTGGAGGTCTTTAAGCAGAGGCTTGACAACCATATGTCAGGAGTGCTCTGATGGTGTTTCCTGCTTGGCAGGGGGTTGGACTCGATGGCCCTTGTGGTCTCTTCCAACTCTATGATTCTATGATTCTATGAGTGCAAGTGAGCAACTTCCCATGAGTGCAAGACCAGAGTCTATAATAATAAAACCCCATAGAAAGGCCAAGGCAAAGACATTTCTCTCATGACATGTCCATCCTGTGCTAGCTATGGTGAGTGCCAGGCGTCATGGTTGATATGAAAGCCCTAAGTGGATTCGCCAGGGATTGCCACTGCTGTGCCACCATGGCGTTGTGAGACCAGAGGAGAGCTAGCTTGACACCTGAGAACACACAAAAAAATGCGGAGAACAAAGCAAACTGCATTTTTCAATCGTTACTGGACCTTCCTGCTAAGTGAAAAGCATAGACCACTATTGAGCTAGAATGCCACAAGTAATTTAGTAACAAAATGCAACAGGTGTTCTTTTTATGTGATATCCTATATCCAGCTATGTCCACTGCTATACTTGCAAATGACCTTAAGAGGTGTGACTTGCAAGTCCCTTTCAGGTTTACATAAACCCACACATCTGGAAGGGTGGATACCAAGTTATCATTTAGTGCATATCTATATAACATACGGGACTAAAGGGGGGTGGGAAATATGTCTATGTCTGAACTGTAGTTAAGTGCGGAGAAAATATTTGCAGTTCCTACGGAACCTAAGGAAATTTATCTCCGAAGGGGGGAAATGTTACGGAAATTACGGGGGAAGGGGGCACATCTTTAAAGTTAAATATTACAAATATTATGCCTGAATGTATCCTTTCAACTTGACTGCTCAGGGAAGTTACCTAGTTTTAAAAATAATATAAAATCATCTCGTTTCCTCCATTCCAAAGCTATTTTCCCCTTGAAAAAGGACTCCCGGAAGTTCCCAGAGGGGACAATTGCTGGGCTCATTGTTAGCCAAAGGAAGCCAAATCTCATCACCTGACTCGCCTCAGGCTCCAGACATGAAAAAGAACTTCTATTGTACTTTTGGGTGGTGGGTACTTAAGACATATTTGTCTATGCTAATCTTATACCTGAGTCTTGCCCTGCCATGTCTGCATGTTTGCCAAGGTTAACCCCTCCCTTTCGAACTGTATTCTGGGATGTGGTGGGAAAGTTTTAAAAGTCTTTGTCACCCCATCCTCGGGGTTCAAATTTGCTCTTTGAACCTATTGTGCAATAAATTTTGGTCTACAGCTATTTGCTCCAGTTGGTGGCTGGAATCCTTCCTTTATTCCACAGGGACCCCCGGGCTCTGCCCAACGAGCTGGGTGACTGAGCAGCCTCACACCTGGATTTTTCCTTAACAGTTTTAAATATAATAATTATAGGATGTCTTGAGGTGTTAGGGGAGCGGTAGTACCTTTGCTGGGGGAAATGTAGTCCGCCTTCTGGGGTAATATTTCCACCATTGGCCCCCACCCTGCACTCATCTCTCACCTGTGGCTTCCAGAACCTGTCAGCATGCAACAGGGGCCGTGATCCAAGCAAAGGCTTCAACCGGCCAGCTAAATCCCTGGGCGCTCACTTGTGGGGTGCCTCAGGGCTCCATCCTCTCCCCCATGCTTTTTAATATCTACATGAAACCACTGGGAGAGATCATCAGGAGGTTTGGGCTGGGTGTTCCCCAGTATGTGGATGATACTCAGCTCTTCCTCTCTTTCAAATTGGAACCAGTGCGGCACATGTGTTGTTTTGGGGGGAGAGAGGGCAGGCAGGTGTGGAGGATTCCCTGGTCCTGCACAGGGTAAGTGTGCCCCTGAAGGACCAGGTGCAAAGCCTGGGTGTCATTTTGGACTCATAGCTGTCCATGGAGGTGCAGGTCAGTTCTGTGTCCAGGGCAGTTGTCTGCCAGCTCCTTCTGGTACGCTGGCTGAGACCCTCCATGCCTGGAGACTGTCTCCCCAGACTGGTGCATCCTCTGGTGATCTCCCGCTTGGACTACTGCCATGTGATACATGGAGCTACCTTTGAAGGTGACTCGTAAGCTGCAACTAAACCAGAATGTGGCAGCTAGACTACAGAAGGGGAGCAGCCGCTGAGACACCAGTCCGAAAGGATCTTCACTGACTCCCAGTACATTTCTGAGCACAATTCACATTGTTGGTGATGACCTTTAATTTGTCTCCACCCCCATCACTCAGTCTGTACACTGAGGTCCTCCTTTGAGGGTCTTCTGCTGGTTGAAACCCCCCCCCCCCCATGTGAAGCGAAGGTATGCTAGCTGAGACCCTCCATGCCTGGAGACTGTCTCCCCAGAGTGGTGCATGCTCTGGTGATCTCCCGCTTGGACTACTGCCATGTGCTACATGGGGCCATCTCTGAAGGTGACTCGTAAACTGCAACTAATCCAGAATGTGGCAGCTATAGAACAGAAGGGGAGCAGCCATTGAGACAACATAACACCAGTCCAAAAGGATCTTCACTGACTCCCAGTACATTTCTGAGCACATTTCACATTGTTGGTGCTGACCTTTAAATTGCTGTGGTTGCATTTTTCAGGCATAGATTCCTGTTATGCCTTCAGTCACAAATTTATTTGCTGAAGGAATTTTTTGCTGTCTCTGAGCTTTATTTCCTACTCTGCTAATTGTATGTCGGACTTGCTGTGGAAATCATTATGGAGGAGCAAGATCATTGACCTAAAGCCCTACAGCCTCACTCTCTGTAGACCTGAAGGAGCGTCTCCACCCCCATCGCTCAGTCTGTATGCTGAGGTCCTCCTTCGAGGGTCTTCTGCTGGTTGAACCCCCCCCCCATGAGAAGCGAAGTTACAGGGAAGCAGGCAGAGGGCAAGGAAATGGGCAACTATCTGACATTTGGAAGACCGCTGAAGGCAGCCCTGTATCGGGAGGTTTTTAATGTCTGATGTTTTACTGTCTTTTATATGTATTGTAAGCTGCCCACAGTGGCTGGGGAAACCCAGCCAGATAGGCAGCGTATAAATACTACAATCATTCTTATTATATTGAGATTTTTTTGTACAGTGGTACCTTGGGTTAAAGATTTAATTCGTTCCGGAGGTTCATACTTAACCTGAAACTGTTCTTATCCTGAAGCACCACTTTAGCTAATGGGGCCTCCTGCTGCCCCCGCGCCGCCAGAGAACGATTTCTGTTCTCATCCTGAAGCAAAGTTCTTAACCCGAGGTACTATTTCTGGGTTAGAGGAGTCTGTAAACTGAAGCGTATGTAACCAGAGGTACCACTGTGATTATTTTGGAATTTGTTCTGCAATATCAACTCACAAAATGTTATGGGTGGAGAAAATCACAGGGTTGCCATAAACTATAATCCCCCCCACAAACACTCATTCACATACAGTCTGTAAATTAGGGGAGGTCACACAGCTCACCTGTGCTAATACTGGCAGTCTTTGGCCTGTATAGGCACACCTTGTATGTAGAGCCTCCAGCCACAGGCACTGTCTATCCTGAAAATGGGTCCTTTGACTGGAAGATTCATGCAATCACTGTCATCGGATGCTGATGTCAGTCACTCTGACACTGCCTACCAAAAATAAGAGCAACAGAAATGCCTTTGAGGTACAACTTCTGTATCAATCCTGAGAGCCATTCCATGGACTCTGAACCCCTGTTTCTGAGGACAGGTGTACATTATCCTCACCCTCAATGAACCAGGCAGTGGAAAAGACAATAAAGATGGAAGCCTGAGAGAGAGGAAAAGGTTTCTGGCTGCTTCCTGGGTGGGATTGCGGAAACAAAGAGCCGCTTCTGAGAAGGCCTCTCCCCTACTCTCTTCCTCTCCTGATTTGAACCGCTGCCACTGGACAGGGCAGGGGCTTATGGGGTGGGAAGAGGATGGAGCTTGCAGGAAGGAAGGGGTGGGGGGGACAGGACCCCCCACTTTCCAGGGATCCCTCTTTGGTCGTCTTGAAAGGGTGGTGGATTCCTGGGCCGCAGGGAGAAGCCAAGGTGGCCACTCTGGAGATTCCCCGCGTGCGTCAGGATGGAGACGTCTCCCCAACGACTGGTCTTCCTTGATCTCCCCCCCCCCCACGCCAGTGCTGCCTTTCCCTGCCCCAGGGATGCTCCCCCCGACTTCCTTGACCCCCTCCCTCTCCCTCAGCCCTCGCCCTGCGTGCCCCATCCAGAGGACGCCCCCCCCAACACGAGTCACACGGGGGTCTCTATCCAGGCGTCCCTCGCGCACTTTAACCCATTCATGCCCCGCCTTTCTCCGTGCAGATCCCACAGGGACACAGGGATGCCTGCGTGGAGGAAACGGGGCAAAGGGGTCCTCGATGGGATCCCCTGGGTGGGGTCCCCATGTCCGCCGCTGCCAAGGCGCCTAAGGGGCCACAGAAAGCCCCCTTCGCAGCAGGCGTGCAGGGATCCAGGCCCTGCCCGTGGGGCCGACGAAAGGCGCTTTGGGGAGCTGGCAGGGGTCTCTGGATCCTTCTCTCCCCTCCCCCCCCCGTGACCCCTTTACCTCTTTGTCCTCGCTCGCGATTCACCTTTCCTTCCCTGCAACATCCACGGGGGTGGGGTGTCCTCCCCTGCCTCCTCCCTCCCCTTTCTGAAAGCGCGCGCCCCTAGAGCTGCGGCGCAGAGCAGCAAACCAGAGTGGAAGCTCTACTTGCGGGAGAAGCAGGCAGATTGGGAGGGAGCTCACCCCCCCCCCCTTATTCCCGGAACAGAAGCCGAATGGTGAGGAGGAGGAAGAGGAGGAGGAGGAGAAATGGGTGCAACGGATGGGGGCGGGATCTGGGGTTATGGGGGGTGGGGGTGAGAGAAGGATGTGCCGGGAGGGGAGGGGAGGAATTGAGGGGGGGAGTGAGGAAGGTTTTTCCCCTCCCCTCTTCCGTCTGTGGATCAGGAGAGGGGGGAGGGGGCTGATCCTGGCAATCCACTTGCAAAGTGGGGTCCCCCACCCCACAATGTTTACATTGCAAAATCCTTCCCTCCCACGCCGCGAGATTAGATCCATCCGTGTTTTAGGTACTGGTGCACAATGCATAGCCTTATATGGAGTTATGTTCCCCCTCTGGGCAGTAATTACCCTATATGGCGATGGGTGGGTTTAAGCCGTGACCGGATGTAGGCAATGTGAGACATTGGCAAACGGCCATGCGAGAGGAGAGAACAAAGGATAATAAAAGTTACGGGAGAGAAGAGAAGTTCGAAAGGAGCTGCTCATACCATCCTGAAAATATTGCTGGCTCTCTGTGTCTTTATTTTATGCTAAACTGCGCCATTTGTGACAGCTGGCTCCGACAGATCTGCCTTTTACCTTTTTCACACACACACACACACACACACACACGAGACATCCAGGTAAAATTCATCCCTTGTGTCTCCCGTCAGAGGTAACACAATGAGGCCAGTAAGAAATCAAGGCCAGCTGTTGATCTGTTTGCGGGCAGAGGCTCCCCCCGCCCATGCAAGGAATAAAGTAATCCGGTCTCTGTGGCAGTTTATTTTGTGGGGGAAATCCTAAAAAAAAAAACCTCAACAACTTCAAACCCAGAAAAAAGAGTTCAACAACTTTGTTTATTTATTAAAAGTTTAATAGTTACAGAAAAAAGAAGAAACAATAAAAAGTTCACAATACATCAAAAATAAAGAGAAAAAACAAAAAAAACAATACAACAAAACAACAAAAAAGCAAAAACATTTTAAAAACACATCCAATATCTCTATATCTCTACCTTTCATTTACTTGTGTCATCGACCTCCTCACACCTCCCTTTTTTGTATTCTTGTTCAATTAGCTATTTCAGCAAATCCTTTCCATCTTTCTTAATTTTTGTTCTATAATTTATCTTAACACAATCTAACCTTAAATTTCCACTTTGGTCCATTAACAATCTATTTTTACTTAATTCTTTATAACATTTCTGCTAAAGCCATATAACTTCGTTCCAGCATCCTTCTAACATTCATTAATTTTGCAATATTTCTGTAAATATACTTTAAATTTTTTCCAATCTTCTTCCACCGACTCTTCTCCCTGGTCTCGGATTCTGCCAGTCATTTCCGCCAACTCCATATAGTCTATCACCTTCATCTGCCATTCTTCCCGGGTGGGTAAATCTTGTGTCTTCCAGTACTTCGCCATGAGTATTCTTGCTGCTGTTGTAGCATACACAGCTGCGTAGCGTGGGTTGTCAGCACCCGGGGCAAGGCAAGTAATTTGCGCCCCCTAACCCCTACCCTGCCACCGCTGCCAGCTTCTTCTTGCTGCTGCCTGGTCTGGTCTGGTGTGGTTCTCTCCCACGCTCAGCGCTGCGCTGGGCGGCCGCTGCACTGTCCCTCCCCCAGATAGTCCCTCGCTCTCTCTCCGCACCGCACGCCTGGCACCCACCCCTTCCACAGTGGGCGGCGACCCAGCGGCTCGGATCGGATTCGCACAGCCAGCACTGCAGTGAGAGAGAGTGAGTGAGCCAGGTAGGGGCAGAGAGCTGCGAGTGCGAGCGCGCGCCCCCCAGATGTTGCGCCCGGTGCGGCCGGCCCCCCCTGCACCCCCCACGCTACACCACTGAGCATACATAAAGAAAGTTCTATCCTTCTTTGGCACCAATTGGCCGACCATGCCCAGGAGAAAGGCCTCTGGTTTCTTGAGGAAGATATATTTAAATACCTTTTTCATTTCATTATAAATCATCTCCCAGATGTTCTTAATCCTTGGGCATGTCCACCAAAGGTGAAAGAATGTACCTTTAGTCTCATTACATTTCCAGCATTTATTATCAGGCAAATGATAGATTTTTGCAAGCTTGACTGGTGTTATGTACCACCTATAAATCATTTTCATTAAATTCTCTCTTAAGGCATTGCATGCCATAAACTTCATACCTGTGGTCCATAACTGTTCCCAGTCAGCCATCATAATGTTATGTCCAACATCTTGCGCCCATTTAATCATAGCAGATTTCACCGTTTCATCCTGAGTATTCCATTTCAACAGCAAGTTATACATTCTTGGCAGATTCTTAACTTTAGGGTCTAGCAATTCTGTTTCCAGTTTTGATTTTTCCACCTGGAAGCCTAGTTTTTTGTCCAAATTATATGCCTCCATAATTTGATAATAGTGGAGCCAGTCTCGCACTCTGTTTTTTAATTTTTCAAAACTCTGCAGTTTTAATCTGTCTCCCTCTTGTTCCAGAATTTCCCAATACTTCGGCCATTTGGCCTCCATATTGGGTTTTTTCTGAGCCTTTGCTTCCATTGGTGACAATCATCTCGGGGTTTTATTTTCTAACAAGTCTTTATATCTTATCCAGACATTAAACAGTGCTTTCCTGACAATATGGTTTTTAAACGCTTTGTGTGCTTTAACCTTATCATACCACAGATATGCATGACAACCAAATACATTGTTAAAACCTTCCAAATCCAACACATCAGTGTTTTCAAGAAGCATCCATTCTCTCAGCCAACAAAAAGCGGCTGATTCATAATAAAGTTTGAGGTCTGGCAGGGCAAATCCACCTCTTTCTTTAGCATCAGTTAATATCTTAAATTTTATACGAGGCTTCTTGCCCTGCCAGACAAATCTAGAGATATCTCTCTGCCACTTCTTGAAGCAGTCCATTTTGTCCAAAATATGCAATGTTTGAAACAAAAACAGCATTCTTGGCAATACATTCATTTTTATCACAGCAATTCGGCCTAACAACGATAACTTCAAATTTGACTATATTTCTAAATCCTTTTTCACTTCAATCCAACATTTTTCATAGTTATCCTTAAATAAATTCACGTTCTTAGCAGTCATGTTAACCCCTAAATATTTCACTTTCTTAACCAGTGTTAATCCTGTCTCCTTTTGAAATTTATCTCTCTCAATCTCAGTTAGATTTTTCTCTAAAACCTTAGTTTTCGTCTTGTTCAACTTGAAACCTGCTACCTGACCAAATTCTTGAATCAGTTCCAGTACTCTTTTAGTGCTAGATTCTGGCTCCTGTAGAGTCAATACCAAATCGTCAGCAAATGCTTTCAATTTGTACTGTTTGGCTCCCACTTGTATACCTTTTACCAATTGGTCCCTTCTAATCATATTTAACAAAACCTCCAGGACCGATATAAAAAGCAATGGAGAGATTGGGCAACCTTGTCGTGTTCCTTTCTCAATCTTAAATTCTTCCGTCACTACGTTATTTACAATTAATTTAGCCTTTTGTTCTGAATAAATTGCACCTATACTATTTCCAAAACCTTGACCAACCCCCATCCCCAGTAAATTCTTCTTCATAAAACTCCAAGAAATGTTGTCAAAGGCTTTCTCCGCGTCCACAAATATCAAAACTGCTTTAGTATTGATCTTCACTTGTAGTTTTTCTAAGATATTAATTATATTCCTCGTATTGTCAGACAAGTGTCTGCCCGGGAGAAAACCCGCTTGATCTTTGTGAATTTCTTCTGCTAACACCTTTTTTAATCTTCTAGCCAAAATATCTGCAAAAATTTTATAATCCACATTAAGCAGTGATATGGGGCGGTAGTTCTTAAACTGTGTCTTTTCAGTCTCTGTTTTCGGTATAAGTGTAATATATGCTTCCTTCCACGACTCTGGTGCCTTTTCCCCTTCCAGTATTACAGACTTCCTTTAAAGGTTGTATTAACCATTCTTTCAGAGATCTGTAGTATCTTGGTCAATCCATCCGGTCCTGGGGATTTACCCAATTGCGTGTTCTGAATGGCCCCTTCTATTTCCTGTTCCGTTATTTTGTAATTCAGCATTAACTTATTTTCCTGGGAAATTTTTTGTAGTCCATTCATTTTCAAAAATTTATCAATGTCCATTTCTTTCTGCGTCTCCTGTGTATATAGTTTTTTTAAATACCTCTGGAAGCACTTTCTAATTTCCACTGGATTCTGTATATTCTTTCCTTCCACTTCTAAATTCGTAATAGTATTTCCTGATTCATCATTTTCATATATTGTACTTGATATAACTTTATCCCTTTCAAAATCTCCTGCGACTTTGGTTTCACCCTCAATTTCTTCTCTCCTTCCTTTATTTTTTCCAGGATTTTGTCTTTTTTCTCATTTTGAATTCTTTTCTTAATTGCATTCTGTTGTATCAAAAATCCTCTCATGACCGCTTTGCTTGCATCCCAAATAACTCTTTTTTCCACAGTAGTGTTCATATTTATCTCAAAATAGTCTCTCAAATTTTTTGGGCCTTCTTAGTGAATTCTTCATTCCTAAACAAAGTATCATTCATCCTCCATCTAAAGGAACCAATTGGCGTCAATTTCATTTCCATCTTCACGGCATTATGGTCGGAGCAGGTCTTGGGGCAGATTTCCACTTTACTAGTCTTCGGAGCCAGTCCTCTGGTTACCCAAATTTGGTGAATTCTTGTCCATGTCATTTTAGCCTCAGAGAAGAAGGTTCCCTCTCTTCCCAGGGGATTCTTCGTTCTCCAGATATCGACTAAATCCATATTTTCAGTCATATCAAAGAAAGTTTTTGGTAGTCTTCCATCCTTGGTGACTACCTGTCTCTGTGCCTTATCCATATTTGTAGACACTACACCATTCATATCTCCCATCAAAATCATATTGTAATCCATATTGTAATCCATATGGTCCATCAGAGTCGCATGGAACTTCTTAAAAAATTCCGATTTTCCTTCATTTGGTGCATAAATACCTACTATCAAGAATTTTTCTCCTTGCGTTTGAATTTCAATTGCAACGAATCTTCCTAGATCATCTTTAAATATGAATTTTGGTGATAGGCTCTCCTTTGCATAGAGGACCACTCCTCTTTTTTTAACTTTGTCCGATGAGATAAATTCTTGGCCTAATCTTTTATTATACAATATCTTCCTGTGTAGCCTTGTCACATGTGTTTCTTGTAAACAAATCAAGTCCAAATGCTCTTTTTTCAGTAAATGAAATACTCTCTGCCTTTTTTCTGGGAAGTTCAGTCCATTAACATTCCAACTCAAGACCTGCAGCACCATCATGTGGTTACTTTGATGCCCCCCCAACTGCACCCAATGCTTGCTCCTCTTCTGTTGGTAATGATGATGGCACGTTCACTGGGGGGTCCATGTTGGGAATCAAGCCTTTATCAGGAGAAACTGGCCACTCTCCAGGCACCCGGCTTGATCTCCTGTTGACCTCCCTGTCTGCATTCCCCAGCAGGATACAGGCTAGGTCGCGATAGGCGATCCTTCTCAGCGTGAGAAGAACACACCCCTCTTTCCTGCCCCCCCGGGCAGGGGAAAGAGATAGACAGAGACGTATTTACATGCCTTTATTTCTGTCTTTGCAGCGTTACAAAAAACATGACTGCTCTCTTCAAGCTTCAGCAGTCGAGAGACAAACTCCTCCTGTACTTCCTGTACAGCTCATATTACACTCTGAGCTAATTCCGGTGCCCTCTGCACTGTGAATTGACTGTCCCTCTGTTTCCCACGGAACAGTCCTAACATTCCCATTATGTTTTGCTTTCAAGCTACCAGCAGCTCGCGGCTGCATTGATTCAATATCGTAACAGTCCAATCCAAAGGATAATGTCGATATATCCAATGTTCCCCTGTTTGATGATCTTCTCTCCAATACTCTTTGCTCTGGTCCTCTATCTGGTGATCTTCTGTCCAATGCTGTTGGCTCTTTTCCGATTCCCTTCTGCAGATCTTCTTCATATTTAATCAGAAACTTTATTTTATCTTCTACTGATCTTATTTTTATTTTCCTTCCTTTAAAGCTGAAGGATATGCCTTGAGGAAATTCCCACCTGAAGATGATTTTGTTCCTTCTCAGCAGGGCAACCAAATCTCCAAAATTGGACCTAAGGTCCAGAAGATGTTCTGGGATATCTTTAAGTATTTCCACTCTTGACTGTTGTATTATCAAAGTCTTCTCGTAGTGCCAACCCAAAATTCTATCTCTCTCTTCTTTAGATCGGAGGGTAATCAAACAGTCTCTTATTCTGTTCTTCTCCTTCTTCCCTCCTCTTCCAAGTCTAAAGGCCCTCACAATTCTGAACTCTTTTTCCAAGTCCAAATCCCAACAGTCTGCAAATTCCTGTGTAAGAAACTCTAACAAAGAGTCCTTTTCCCGTTCAGGTACAGCTCTAATTCTCAAATTTGTCTGTTTTTCCTTGAGCTCAGTCATAGAAAGCGCCAACTTATGGTGCTCAAGTTGCTTCTGTAGGTCTGGAACTCTCTCTGTTTGCAATTGAGTTACCTTTGCTTCCACGGCAACAACTTTTTCCTTGGCTTCCTCTGTGATCTGTCAAGTCGAATTAGACTCCTGTATCAGTTTCTCAATAGCTTCTGTATTTGTATTTGTATTTGTATTAACATACTTTGTGTGTTCTGGTCTAATTTTTTATTCATTTGTTCCAATGATTCATTTATCTTACTTAATGCAAGTGCTAAGGCCTCTTCTGATATCATTCCTTTTGATTTAGAGTGTGTTGATACAGCCACAGATGGGGCAGGAGGACCAGATGTAAAGGCTCTTCGCTGCCAAGACTTCCCAGACCTTGTTGTTTTGTCTTGGATTGGCGAGTCTATTTTTTCTTTTCCATCTGCCATAACACTTAAATACTTCAAGGTCAATTCCGCAGTCCCAGAGTCTTATCTTAGAATTGGAAAATTCCAACCCTTGTAGCAATTTCAGAAACCTCCTCTAGAGGGAAATAGTTACTAATTGTGTTGTGTTAGCCAAAATGTCACTTTTTAAAACACAGTTGCATCAATAGATTTAGTATCAAGTCTCAGTTACTATTACTCAGTTACTTTTACTCCTTTTTGAGGTCAAAAGAGGATGATTAAAACAATGTATCACTCTTGTTTCACTGGCTGTCAGCGAACGGTCTATTCACAGTCAATGCACACTTCAAAATACAACAATCTTAATGGCAGCCCGTTTCCAGGTTCTGAGTGGTGAAAATTTAGCTTCTTTCCCTCTCTTTTTGCAAGCAAATACTGTCCAAAACTCCCCCCCCCTCTTCTCCTGCTTCCAAGGGGGGGGTTCGCTATTTTTAATACTGGAAATTTGGACGTTTACGATAGACTTTCAAGGCTTTAGCTTGAGCCTGTTTGCTTCCGACTATTTACAAAGGAGGAAGGCGGACTTCCTATTTTGAACCTCCCCCCGTTCGTTACCAAATTCAAGCTTTTAAAACTCCAATTCTTCACTTTACTCACGGGTAGTTACTTTTAGATCCAATTGTCCACAGGAAAAAGTCAGCGCTCTCCGGCAACGGCTGTGCGGCTTCACTCCGTGGAAGTAGCAGCCGATTCAAAGCTCCGTGCCGCTCACCCCACTTCGCTCTGGATCCCCGAAAACGGGTTTCCCCGCGAGTAGGGGAGCGCAAGAGGTGCCCACCGAATCCCACGTTCACAGGCTTCACCTGCCTGTGATTTTTAAAGGGTCTCCGCCTTCGCCGCGGTGGCCAGACCCGATTTCCACAGAGCGGATTCCTCCTGTTCAGAGGAATTCCACCATTGCCGATGGCGCTAACCCAGAAGTTCAAGAGTTCAACAACTTTGGTTGGCCCTTTGGTTGGCCCTCACAGCCCTTCACTTCATCAGATCTGGCCCTCTTTGATAAAAGTTTGGACACCACTGGAATAAAGTCATTCAACTTGTGATTTGGTGTGCGTACACTGTGGACTTAGTGAATGGCGCTGGGTCGCCATGGACAACTTCGTCATTTCTTACTACGATATGAAGCTACCAGCATGAGTTTGACCAAACTGGGGGAGGCAGTGGAAGACAGGAGTGCCTGGCGTGCTCTGGTCCAGGGGGTCACGAAGAGTCGGACATGACTAAATGACTAAACAACAACTATTTCTGGGTTAGCGGAGTCTGTAACCTGAAGCGTCTGTAACCCGAGTTACCACTGCATTACAGAAAAGTCCTTGACGCAGCCAACTAACGCATGCACTAACGTTGCTTACTATCTCCTGATAGCGGCACTGACCAATCACACCAAACGCAATGGGGGATTGGAGCGGAACAGCTGGAAATCAGCTGATTGGCAGACGCAGAACTGCACCTGACGATTATGTGGGCGGCAATTCCCACCCAGAGAGGCGTGAGGGGGCGAGCCCACTTTGTAACCACCCAGGAATGGCACTGCAGGGGAGATGGCTAGCGTGCCCACAGAGAGGGCTCTGAGTGCCCACTCTGGCATGCGTGCCGTAGGTTCACCACCACTTAGCTAGACTGAGCTTGGAGCAACTAGGCTGGTGTGGAAAGAATTTTGTTGTTGCTGGAGTGCCTCTTTTCCTCCGACTGAAGTGCTCTCAAACCCTGAATCTTAGGAGGGCATGTTTGATAATAATAATAATAATAATAATAATAATACTAATAATAATAATAGAGATTAGGAATAAGAAAGATTAGGAATAAGAAAGATTAAGGAATACATTAAAATGTTTTGATGGCTGGTTGGGGATCCCTACAGAAGTTGCAAAGGCAGGACCCCAGATTCTTGTATTGGTATCCTAAGGCTGGAACGCCCGCCCCCCCATGGCCTGTGTCCGTGTGCCATTCTGGCTCTAGCACTCATAGGACCTGGGAGATGAGGGTTTGAATCCTCACACAGCTACGATGCTCCTGCTGGGTGATCTTGGACCAATCGTGATCTTTCAGCTTGGCCTACCTCACAGGGCTGTAGTGACGATGGAATGGGGTTGAGGGAGAACCATGCCTGTCACATGGACCTTTGGAGGGGGGGAAAGGTGGGATCTGAATGTCACAATAAAAACTATTTCAAGAATACAGAGGACATGGACGCAGAATTGCATGCACAGAAGGAGGTTTATTGTCACTACGGAGGAAGACGGGAGCTGGCCAGAGAGAGAAAGAGCAGACAGCTTGCAAAGGTTTGCATTTCCATGATGTGGTCTGGGAAAGGCGGTTTCAAAGTTGGCACCATCACTTTGCAAAGCACAAGGAAAGCTTCGTTTACTCAGCTAACCAGTCCACAAAAGCATCTCATCTCTGCAGAAAAGGGAGACAGGTTTCATATCTCATGGGGCAAATTTCCCAGTTTGGGGGGGTGTACTGTTGCTCACAGCCTCAGGCTTCGGATTTGGCTAGGTCTTAGTGGAATCAAGAGTCCAAACTGGATTTACTTGGGGAAGCGCCTCTTGTTTTTTCTGCTCCAGGCCAATAGAGGAGGGGAGGGAATAGATTTCCTGCAGGTGGACAGAGCAGGTGGGAAAGGGGACTGGCCTTGGACCTGTTGGGAAGCTGGAGGTCTTTGGGTGTTCCTCTCAGGTCCAGGGTTTCAGGCCTAATAGGTGGCCTTGTATTTGCAAAGGTATGGCAAGGCAGTCGTACAGGAACGCTGGATCCATTTCTGGGAACCTGCAGGGCAGAAGGTTGAGAGAGAATGTTAGGGAGTGTCCAGAAATTGAGAGAGAATGTAGACTTCCTTTTGAGTGAATCAATTATTTCCTTCCCTGTTTTGGAGAGGGAGACAATTACGAGGAAAAGCAATGAGATTTGATAAATACGTAAGCAGAAGTATTTTGAACAAGCCATTCTGCTTTTGCCAGTAGGGTGTGTTTGTGTGTCATACGGAACCCTTGGTTTGTGAGATCTTTGTGATGGTTGAGTTGTTTTCTAGCATTCCCCATGCCTGCATGAATGAAATTTCACTGAAGCTGAATTCTGCATCTAAATTAAGTTCCACCTTTGCAATGGGGCAGAGTTCCCTGTGCCCTATTCTGGGACAAAGAACCACTCTAGACTTTGCCCACCAACCCCAGTGGAGGTAACAGTTCAAAAACAAAAATGCAGCCCAGGTGATAAGAAGTGCCAAGTATAAAGAGGAAACTAGTGCGGTTCTCTCTCTGGAGCCCCATCTCTCCCCGTCCTCAGTTTCCTTGCCAAGCCCTTTCTGCACAGGAATAAGTAAGTCTGTCCTTTTCATTTTTTGTCAGTTTCCCATTTCCCCATTCTTGAGTTCTCTATATTTCCACAACAGTTTGTGATTCTTGGTGGGTCTGGTTACCATATTTTAGCTCCTCCTGAACATTCATCAGTGTTTTTAAGGCCATTTTCAACCAATCGACGCGTTTTTGCAAAGCAATTTTCCCCAATACAAGGAAACTTTGCATGTTACTTTTGCAGATGTTAGTATTTTAAAGCACACTGGAAGTATATGTGTTTTTGTGCACACTTGGTTGGAGAACTGCATTGCAACTTTCAGAGTGTCTGAGGATGGCTTTGTTTTAAAGGTAAAGGTAAAGGGGACCCCTGACCATTAGGTCCAGTCATAGCCGACTCTGGGGTTGCGGCGCTCATCTCGCTTTACTGGCCGAGGGAGCCGGCGTACACCTTCCGGGTCATGTGGCCAGCATGGCTAAGCCACTTCTGGCGAACCAGAGCAGCGCACGGAAACGCCATTTACCTTCCCGCTGGAGTGGTACCTATTTATTTACTGCACTTTGACATGCTTTCAAACTGCTAGGTTGGCAGGAGCAGGGACCGAGTAACGGGAGCTCACCTCATCATGGGGATTCAAACCGCCGACCTTCTGATCGGCAAGTCCTAGGCTCTGTGGTTTAACCCACAGCGCCACCTGCGTCCCTCTCTGCTTGGTTTTAGTTCCTCTCTATAGCGGTTTAGACATGCTGGCCACATGACCAGGAAGCTGTACGCTGGCTCCCTCGGCCAATAAAGCGAGATGAGCTCCACAACCCCAGAGTCGGCCACGACTGGACCTAATGGTCAGGGGCCCCTTTACCTATTCCTTGAATGGAATGGGTTTTCCTCCTCCTTCCCCAGTCTCTCCTCCTGCATACCTGAATAAGAAAGAGAGACACATTCACTTGAAGAGATTGAGTGGCTGATGCTCCTGCCGTCCCAGAGGGGTTGAGAGAAGACAGATCCATCGCTCCATTCCCAGATCATATTCTGGAGAGAGAGAAGGAGAAAGGAAGGTCTAAAAGGGTAATGCAAGCCCATTGCTCCCCATATCCCCAGAGAGGACACAGCTGGGGAATCAGCGCAACTGACAAGGCCAAGGGGTTGGTTTGAGTCTCCAGCGGCTGGAGCCATAAAGATGAAAGGGGACTGACAATTTGTACAGTGGTGGGGAGATGTCACAGAATCTGTGACTTTATAGATAGCGCAATGAGAGTTGGGAAGGAGGAAAGACAACAAGGATCTGGAGCTGGAGTTCCAGAACCTTCCAAAGAGCCACTCCGAGAAATAGTCCCATCTCCAAATGAGGACTTCAAGGTTTGACGTTTGGGGAAGGAAGTGGTTTCAGAGGGAAGTGAGAGCCAGTGAGCTACATCTGAAGGAGCTCAAGGGAGCTGAGGAGCTCGTACAGTCAGCATCTTCAGAGAGTCCTAAAGGCACCTACCACGTGGTAGCTACCACGGTCAGCTACCAGGCCGATCCAGACGTTGCTGGAGCCATATTGTCGCAGGTAACTGTAAACCACATTTGCTTCCCTTGCAGAAAGAATGGAGGCCAGCTGGGACCCATGTCTCCTCTGGCAGCTGACCTGCAGAGAGAAGAAAGGGGGAAACCAGTGAGATGCTGCCCAGAGCCAGGATTCCCAAGGAGTCGGCCCTTGCTCCTCTCTCTCTCTCTCTCTCTCTCTCTCTCTCATCTCTTTTTTATTATTATTGCAAAGTAAATACATCAATACCAACCCATACATAACAAATAATATAAAGGGGGGAAAATAAAGCAGAAAAAGAAGAAGAAAAGAAAAGTAGACAGTAAAAGAATAAAGAAAAGTATAATATTTCAATACAATAAACACCATTTTACAAAATAATAATAGTAATAGACTCCCATCACTCTCACAACACTTTCTTTCACATTTTATATTTTATCTGTTGCAGGAATTTATGTATAGGTTGTGGGGGGGGGGGTTGCCCCTCCAGCAGATATCATGCACGTGCAGCCCACTGCCAAAATCAGCACAATCGCTTTTGTGACTTTTGTGATTTGTCCCCACAAAACACTTCATCACAGTTTCTTCCTATCTATTCAAAGGGCCTTTGCTGCACAATACCAAATGTAAGAATTCAGTGATAAATGTCTCTATGTACTGGCTCAATGGGGAAACTTCATATAGACATGTGAGCTCAGCTACTCAGCAGCCCCTCTGCCTGAGTGATAATCCCTGGCATCCTGATACCTGAGTGCCAGACAGGTAGCCATTCCAGAAACAACAAACCCAGATGAAGACAAAAGGGTGTGATTAACTTGGCTGGAAAACAGGGAAATGTAAAGATCTCTTTTGTTACACTTGATGGGTATTTGGTGGAGGCAAGGGGAACCATGGGGCAGGGTCCAGGGTGCTCAGATTACGGCCACCAGACCTCCCTTTTCATGATGTAAACATGATGTATTAGTGATGCAGTTGGGGGTGTAACATGGGGATTAGCAGCTAATAAAAGTTTGGGGGCTCTTTGGTTTGGAGCTTCCATCTTCTTCCACCTTGGAGCAGGTGGGAGTCCTGTCGTGACAGTCTTCGATAAAGACCAAGCCTACTGGCTGCTGTTTTGCTCTGGTATTCCTGGCTGGTGTCCTTGTTTTTGTTTTGTTTTTTGTCCAAGGGAGCCCTCAGATTTCCCCGTTAACAATCTGTATTTCAGTATTATTTTCCCCTTTTCCATTCACGAGGTCATTCTAGACACAGCCAAATTTTTACATTAGAACCTTGTCTTTCTAAATAATCATTCAAGCACTTCCATTCCTTCTTGACTGTAATCACTGGCTTTAGTCTTATTATGTCCGTCAATTTGGCCAGTTCCAAATATTCACATAATTTACATAACCATTCCTCTTTGGTCAGTACCTGGTTACCCTTCCAGTACTCAGCCACCAGGATTCTCACCACTGAGGTCGTTTACAAAAAGAATTTAGTATTTTCTCTAGAAATATCACAATAATAATAATAATAATAATAATAATAATTTATTTATACCCCGCCCATCTGCCTGGGTTTCCCCAGCCACTCTGGACAGCTTCCAACAAAACACTAAAATACAATAACCTATTAAACATTAAAAGTTTCCCTAAACAGGGCTGCCTTCAGATATTCAATATTCCCAAAATGTATGTTTCTGGTCTTTTGCTATGTGAAGTTCCTAGTAACTTTCTTATTTCTTCTCATTCCCCCTGGTGAAACTTACCTCGGCATCATCCCACGAGAGGCTGGAGCTAGAATACTCATAGCAGTACTTTCTGTAGAAGAGGGCTCCTGCAGGGCAGGGAGCGCGAGCGCTCTGGCTGCGATTGGCGGCACCTGTGAGGAATTGGATTGAGACTGGAATAGATCCCCCAGACCACCAACCCTTTCCTTGACAGATGGAGCCCCTCAAGGAAGCCCTGCCGTTAGGAATCGGGAGGTTCCTTCTGGCTCTTTCCAAACTAATCTTTCCCCCTTGAGCTGCCACCGGCTCACACCCCTCTTTATGGGAACCCAGACGTTATTGCCAAAATGGTTGCAGCAAAGTGTTGTCTATGCAGCTCCAGCAGGGGCTTTTCCACACCTGATCTGTGATATAATAATAATAATAATAATAATAATAATAATAATAATAATAATTTATTATTTATACCCCGCCCATCTGCCTGGGTCCCCCCAGCCACTCTGGGCAGCTTCCAACAAAACACTAAAATACAATAACCTATTAAACATTAAAAGCTTCCCTAAACAGGGCTGCCTTTAGATGTCTTCTAAAAGTTTGGTAGTTATTTTTCTCTTTAACATCTGGTGGGAGGGCGTTCAACAGGGCGGGCACCACCACTGAGAAGGCCCTCTCTCCCTGGTTCCCTGTAACGTGGCTTCTCACAGTGAGGGAACCACCAGAAGGCCCTCGGAGCTGGACCTCAGTGTCTGGGCTCAACGATGGGGGTGGAGACACTCCTTCAGGTATACTGGACCGAGGCTGCTTAGGGCTTTCAAGGTCAGCACCAACACTTCCTCCCCTTCTACTAATGCTCACCTTCTGCCAAAGGGTTCAGGATCAGGCAGCCCAACAGGCAGAGTCCAAGGTAGACCACTTGCCCCATCTTCTGCTTCTCCTGGGAAAAGAAAGTGTCAGCAACATTCATCCCAGCTAAGGGCCTGGCATTTCCAGAAATGATGGGTCCAGTGTGTTGCGCCGGGTGTGTGTGTATTTTTGGGGCTTTGAGCTTGTGATCATTCAAAATTCAAAAAACAGGCAATGCTAAGTTGCTTATAAGACCCAAACTATCTCATCTGCTTTGACAACATCAAATATTGCTGCAACACAGCAGCCAGGTTCAGTAGTTTCCAAGTCATACGGAAAGCAAAGTTAGCTGTGTTGCGATTTGTAAGAAAAATCTCCAGATGCTTTTGGGGGCAATACCATTTTGAACACCAGGACCCTAAACTGGAAGAAGAGGCTTTTACACCGCCCTGAATATGGCACTTTATTCCACGAGAGAACATCTACTGGGAAAAATCACCCTGTTTGGTTTCTGTTTCTGGAACACCTCAAATTAATTCCCGCCTTTGCTAATATACGGACTGCCTCTTTCCTCCCCTTTCTGCCTCTCTTTTCTACCTTTCAGGGGACAGAGAGAGACCTGGGGAACAACAACCACTTCTTGTGTTTCCAGAGAAGGGGGAGCAGCCACAGTTATGCGTCTTTCTCCCCAGTGGAACAGCCCAAAATGGTCGGCTTACCCTGTGCCTTGGCTCCGCACTGAGGTTATGGGGCTCAGTGTGGGATCATACAAGCCTTTGCAGGCAGTGGCAGAGCAAGCCGATTGGGCACCTGGGGCCCAGGGCCCAGGGGCCCTGCGCCCAGGGGTGGGGCCAGCTGCCCATGGGACTGGGCGAGCCAGGGCAGGATGTTCCATGGGGCCTCCGAGGAATCTGTCGGACTTGCGTTCGGCTGAGCTATTCCTCCGGTCGAGTCCTCCGACGTTGATTAACGACCTGAGCCTTTGACATTCCCCCATTACGCAGAGTATACAGCAGCATGTGGAAGGACGAGAAATATGAGCTACATGCTAAGAGTTTTATTTTCTAACTACGCAGACAGAAAAGAAAAATACATCCTCTCTCTGCGAGAGCAGAGAGGTAACTGGGACAAAGGAACAGGAAACCAGTAATATAAACATCCGTCTCCCGTGAGACTTCCAACAGCCTGGAGTCTCTGGAATGTAAACAGAGTCTTGTGACTCCAAGCACTGCACAGTGGCAATTAATAGAAACCTATCAGAATCTGCCTGCCTCCTCCCATTCAGCAGCCTTACAGCGTTTGGGGCAGCATGGAGCCCGTGGGTGTCCAAGCCACCATGTCACTCCCAGGAGAGATGCGTGGCTCAGGCGCACTGCAAGCTCTCCGGTGAGTGCCGCATGCCATTTTGTCACCCCCCTCAGTGGTGACACCCGGGGCGGACTGCCCCCACCGCCCCCCTTCCTCCTCCCCTGCTTGCAGGGATTCAGTCTTTGTGTTTCAACCTTTTTTTTGCCACCCCCAAGCCCTGCCCAGTGATGCCGGAGAACTTTGCCCAATACAGAAAAGGAATCGGAAATTGCTACACCTCCTGAGATCGTCTGTGGTCAGGAACAGCAACCAGTAAAGCAAATGTGATCAATATTAGTCCACATCGCAGTAATTTTTTTTAAGTTCACAAACGATATGAAACGATGTTTGTGAGGTTTTTCCTTTTTTACTTTTACATTGTTTTGATGTTTCCTTTACATTGGCATGGATGTAAGTTGCATAAATAGTTACACAGCTGAGGTTAAACAGTGGACGGCGAGAGGAACGACAAAAACTGAGACGGAACTGCAGCAGAATGGAAACAGGTCTGCTTGCAAGGAATGCAGGTTGTAATGGAAATCGCTGCCATCTTACATTCCCAGTCCTGCCCCGTTCCTGCTGGCCCAGAAGTGGTGCCCATTCCCTTATTGGCTTGCTCTTCCTTCCAGTAAAATACATTCTAGGCCAGTGGAGAATCCTTTTCTCCCCAGAGTCTGTGGCGCTGTTGACCTGTTTTCACGAACTGTTTCTCTGCTAGGAAATGCAATACTGTTTTGAGGGTTGCAAAGGCAAAGGGATAGATGGGTCTCACCTGCGTCCTTCTCTCCTTATGTCTTGCTGTGGCTGATCTGGAGTCGAGGGCGATTCTTGCAGCCTGTGCCAGGTGCTGTCCCCCTGTGGGCATATTTATAGGACGAGGACAATGCAGAAGGGAGACAAAGGTGAAGCCAACAAACCCTACACAACTGACCACAAAGCAAACAGGGTTGGGTGATGAGCCATTGGGTGTCTTTTCATGAACCTGACAGATGATAAATGAAGGTGTCAAGAGGTCATTAGCCCAGGGAGAAAGGGTGGGGTTCAATTCATTTATTTTATTTGATTGCATAGCCTTTTTTCTAATAACCCTTGGCAACCCAACCACCACAGCCCAGGGATAACGAGAATCAAGAAGTCATTGCCTTGTTCCTTGTGTTGGAGGAACAACACAGTACTTTGTGCTGTTGCTGGCTTTGTGGTGGTTTTCTTCTTCTACTTCACTATTGAGACCTCTGACCAGATATTTGCACTGGGGCTCTGTCTATGTTCCCATGGCATAACCATTCAAGACATGACAGTTCTGGACGCCCAAGTTACGAGAAGTAGCAGGCAAGCAACAGAGGCAATGAATCAAAATTAATCAGCGGCGCCTTCAGCAACAACACTTGCCTTTGTCTGCCTTGGGTTTCATTGGATACCAGGCATTCTAGTTTTAGGAGAGAGGCAGAAAAGCTGTTCTCTATCCACTTTCTCTTTACCATTCATAGTTTTACAAATTTCTATCCTGTTACCTCTTATTTGCCTTTTTTCCAAACTAGAAATTCTCATATGCACAACCTTTGTTATTTATTATTTATACGCCGCCCATCTGGGGGTTGTATTAAAATACAATAAAACACCAGACATTAAAAACTTCCCTAAACAGGGCTGCCTTCAGATGTCTTCTAAAAGTCAGATAGTTGTCTATTTCTTTGACATCTGATGGGAGGGCGTTCCACAGGGCAGGCACCACTACCGAGAAGGCCCTCTGTCTGGTTCCCTGCAACCTCACTTCTCACAGGGAGGAAACTGCCAGAAGGCCCTTGGAGCTGGACCTTGGTGTCCGGGCTGAACGATGGGGGTGGAGACGCTCCTTCAGGTATACTGTGCCGAGTGGTTGTGGAACAACTCCAGGCATGGACCTGGAGGATGTGGACCATTTGGATCCCTTCCAATTGGGATTCAGGCCTCACCATGAGACTGAAACTGCCTTGGTCGCACTGGTCAATGATCTCCGGTGGGCTAGGGACAAAGATGAAAGCTGTTTCCTAGTTCTGCTGGATCTCTCAGTGGCCTTTGATACCATCAACCATGACATCCTTCTGGACTGTCTAGAGGAGCTGGGGGCACTGTCATACAGTGGTTCTGCTCCTTCCTCCTGGGCCATGTCCAGAAAGTGGTGTTGGGGGATGAGTGTTCAGACCCCTGGGCTCTCACTTGTGGGGTGCCTCAGGGCTCCATCCTCTCCCCCATGCTCTTCAGTATCTATATGAAGCTGATGGGAGAGATCATCAGGGGTTTGGGGCTGGGTGATCACCAGTATGTGGGTGATACCCAGCTCTATCTCTCCTTTAAATCGGAACCAGTGAAGGCGGTGAAGGACCTGTGTGAGTGTCTGAAGGTGGTTGGAGGATGGATGGAGGCTAACAGATTGATGCTGAATCACGACAAGACAGAAGTACTGTTTCTGGGGGGGACAGGGTACAGGAGTGTGGGGGTGACTCCCTGGTCCTGAATGGGATAACTGTGCCCCTAAATGTCCAGGTGCCCCTGAAGGACCAGATCTGCAGCCTGGGAGTCCACCAGGGAAGTGATAGCATGGATGTTAAAATCCCCTAGGACAACCAAACTAGGTGTCTCCAGGAGCACATCCTCCACGACCTGAAGCAGCTTGGCCAGGAAATCCTTGGTGCAGTGGGGAGGTCGGTACACCAGAAGGCATCCTGTACTGCTTCTATTGCCCAGCTTCCAGAACATGCAATCTGAAAACTGGGTCTTCCCAATAGGATGCCTGGTATAAACTTGAAGGAAAGCATTGCTTCTGCACATAACTGTGGCATGATCGGAAGTCCTGCTTCTAAGCTTTGTTTTGCTCACGCTGCACAAACCGTGCTGATGCTAAGACATTCCATCATCACCCTGGTACGTCCTGTTCACCTTGAGTTCACACCATATCAATCTGTACTTACCCCTCCTTGTACATTCCTTTTTCGTACCACTCTGGTACGGGCAGTCCGAAACCATGCCTGTGTAAACTCCGCGTTCCTTTTCCCAACCTTTAACCTGTCTATGATTAATGTCTTATATGCAATAATTAATGTCTTATATGCAACCCTTGCTTTGTACTTATGTTAACCAATCAGCAACAAGCACACGTGGCAAACGCAGTAATATTCAATAAAAGGGAGTCTCCGAGGCTTGCTCCAGAGACGCCTCCCGCATGACACCTACCTGCTCATCTGTCGCTCATTTTCAACCCAACATAAACTTGTTGTTGTTTTTGTTGTTGTTTAGTCCTTTAGTCGTGTCCGACTCTTCGTGACCCAATGGACCAGAGCACGCCAGGTACTCCTGTCTTCCACTGCCTCCTGCAGTTTGGTCAAACTCATGCTGGTAGCTTCGAGAACACTGTCCCACCATCTCATCCTCTGTCGTCCCCTTCTCCTTGTGCCCTCCATCTTTCCCAACATCAGGGTCTTTTCCAGGGAGTCGTCTCTTCTCATGAGGTGGCCAAAGTCTTGGAGCCTCAGCTTCAGGATCTGTCCTTCCAGTGAGCACTCAGGGCTGATTTCCTTAAGAATGGAGAGGTTTGATCTTCTTGCAGTCCATGGGACTCTCAGGAGTCTCCTCCAGCACCAGAATTCAAAAGCATCCATTCTTCGGCCATCAGCCTTCTTTATGGTCCAGCTCTCACTTCCATACATCACTACTGGGAAAACCATAGCTTTAACTATAAACTAGTGACTTCCTGAAAATCACTGCAACCCCCCTTCCCCGCCCGTATGACCTGGGCTGCTGTGCGTATGAGAAACCTGGTGGACAAGTAGCAGCAAGGACAGGCCCATCTGCTTCATCCAACCAAGTTTCCATCACACATGTCATAAGGGAGTCTTTCGATCATTTTGTAGATAAAATGCACGGCACAATCTCATTTCTCAATCACCTAGGTACTGGTCATTTCTATAGGTTTTTTTTATAGAAGCTACATTGGAGAATGCAAAAGGGGATTGGGAAGGAATGATGCTACTTCTTGTATGCCATTTGACTGTTCACAATATCTATGAATTCATTTTATCATCCTGTTGTATTAGCATTCCACACAGCCACCTCCATAGAAACGTGTTTTAAGCCATGTACCTGAACTAATAATCTTCATTAGCATCTGGTATCTGCACGAGTTAATTCCTAGCATTAGCTGAAAATACATACTTTGTCATAAAGTTAACCACAAGTCTGGGCATGGAATGTTTCCCCATTTTAAGGGTCAACACTTAATTTTTTTATGAAGATTGAAAAAATCATGATTGTCTTTCAAAAGTGGCAGTGCTACGAGAATGTGAACCTGGAGCACATCATTTTGATCATAAATATCTGAACTTTTTCCAACTCTACAATGTCCTTTTTCAGGCAAAGTCACCTGAAGACCGTGCCAAGCGTCTGGGAGGATTGGCAGAGTACCAGGAATGTGACCAGGAGATTAGAACTTGCCACCAAGCCTGCGGGGGAAGCCCTGGTGAGTTTGGGGACTGCCACTTCCTCCTTCCTCCTCCAATTCTGCATGTTGGTTCTTTACATCCTCTATTCAGATTCGAAAGCTGGCAGGTGTCCAAGGAGTGCCCAGGTCTCTTTTTACAGCAGCCTGAGTTTTGCATTGCTTATTCCTAATCATAGTATTGCACACCTATTTGCACAGCCCTTATGTAAGGTATTTCGCCTATTTTCATTGTAGAAAGTTTTACCTATCCTTAAAGAAACTGAGGCATGTTGCAGATGTGTTCTGCTTGCAGATTTGCCATAACGGGCATCTGGTTGGCCATTGTGAAGAATAGATTGCTGGACCCTTTGGCCTGGTACAGCAAACTAAATATGACATAATAGGCATCACTGAAACCTGGTGGGATAAGTCCCACGATTGGAATGTAATAATGGAGGGATACAATCTATTTCAGAGAAACAGACCCGTCAAGAAAGGAGGAGGAGTGGCGTTATATGTCAGGGATGTGTATACCTGTGAAGAGATCCAAGATTTAGAACCTCAAAGCCAAAGTGAGAGCATTTGGGTCAAAATTAAGGGAGAGAAGAATAACAGAGACCTCATTGTGGGAGTTTACTATAGATCCCCAAGCCAAACGGAGGACATAGATGATGCCTTCCTGGAACAGATGGCCAAGCATGCAAAAGGAAGGGAGATAGTACTAGTGGGGACTTCAATTACCCGGATATTTGTTGGATGTCAAACTCAGCCAAGAGCATAAGGTCAAACAGATTCCTCACTGGCCTTGCAGACAACTTCATTGTCCAGAAAGTGGGAGAAGCAACAAGACGAACAGCCATTTTAGATCTGGTCCTAACCAATGTTGATGACCTGGTTAGTGGGGTAGAAGTGGAAGGATCATTAGGCGCGAGTGATCATGCTCTTCTGAAGTTTACTATACAGCGGAAAGGAGCAGCCAAGCATACTAGGACTCAATTTCTTGACTTTAAGAAAGCCGACTTCATAAAACTTAGGGAAGTGCTGGGTGAGATCCCATGGACAGTAATACTAAAAGGAAAGGGAGTTCATGATGGCTGGGAGTTTGTTATGAGGGAGATAGTAAAGCACAACTTCAGGCAATACCAATGAGACGGAAACATGGAAGGTGCCTAAAGAAGCCAGGGTGGCTATCTAAAGAACTTTTAACTGAGTTAAGATTAAAAAAGGATGTGTACAAAAATGGAAAAGGGGGGAAACCACCAAAGAGGAATTCAAACAAATAGCCAGCACGTGTAGACACAAAGTCAGAAAAGCTAAAGCACAGAAGGAACTCAGGCTTGCTAGAGAGGTTAAAAGCAACAAAAAAGGCTTCTATGGGTATGTTCGTAGCAAAAGGAAGAACAAAGAAACAGTGGGGTCACTCAGAGGAGAAGATGGTGAAATGCAAACAGGAGACACAGAAAGGGCTGAACTTCTCAATGCCTTCTTTGCCTCAGTCTTCTCCGATAAAGAAAACAATGCCCGACCGGAAGAATTTGGAGCAAATGATTCAGCAAAGGAAACACAGCCCAGAATAACTAAGGAGATAGTACAAGAATACTTGGCTAGTTTAGATGTATTCAAGTCTCCAGGGCCAGATGAACTGCATCCAAGAGTATTAAAAGAACTGGCAGATGTGATCTCAGAACCACTGGCAGTCATCTTTGAGAATTCCTGGAGAACAGGCGAAGTCCCGGCAGACTGGAGGAGGGCAAATGTTGTCCCTATTTTCAAAAAGGGAAAAGAGAGGACCCAAATAATTACCGCCCAGTCAGTTTGACATCAATACCAGGGAAGATTCTGGAGCAGATCATTAAGCAAACAGTCTGTGAGCACCTAGAAAGGAATGCTGTGATCACCAATAGTCAGCATGGATTTCTGAAAAATAAGTCATGTCAGACTAACCTGATCTCGTTTTTGACAGAATTACAAGCCTGCTAGATGAAGGGAACGCAGTGGATGTAGCCTACCTTGATTTCAGCAAGGCATTTGACAAAGGTGCCCCGTGATATTCTTGTAAAGAAGCTGGTAAAATGCGGTCTTGACTATGCTACCACTCAGTGGATTTGTAACTGGCTGACTGACCGAACCCAAAGGGTGCTCATCAATGGTTCCTCTTCATCCTGGAGAAGAGTGACTAGTGGGGTGCCACAGGGTTCTGTCTTGGGCCCGGTCTTATTCAACATCTTTATCAACGACTTGGATGATGGACTCAAGGGCATCCTGATCAAATTTGCAGATGACACCAAACTGGGAGGGGTGGCTAACACCCCAGAGGACAGGATCACACTTCAAAACGACCTTGACAGATTAGAGAACTGGGCCAAAACAAACAAGATGAATTTCAACAGGGAGAAATGTAAAGTATTGCACTTGGGCAAAAAAATTGAGAGGCACAAATACAAGATGGGTGACACCTGGCTTGAGAGCAGTACATGTGAAAAGGATCTAGGAGTCTTGCTTGACCACAAACCTGACATGAGCCAACAGTGTGACGCGGCAGCTAAAAAAGCCAATGCAATTCTGGGCTGCATCAATAGGAGTATAGCATCTAGATCAAGGGAAGTAATAGTGCCACTGTATTCTGCTCTGGTCAGACCTCACCTGGAGTACTGTGTCCAGTTCTGGGCACCACAGTTCAAGAAGGACACTGACAAACTGGAACGTGTCCAGAGGAGGGCAACCAAAATGGTCAAAGGCCTGGAAACGATGCCTTATGAGGAACGGCTAAGGGAGCTGGGCATGTTTAGCCTGGAGAAGAGGAGGTTAAGGGGTGATATGATAGCCATGTTCAAATATATAAAAAGATGTCATATAGAGGAGCGGGAAAGGTTGTTTTCTGCTGCTCCAGAGAAGCGGACACGGAGCAATGGATCCAAACTACAAGAAAGAAGATTCCACCTAAACATTAGGAAGAACTTCCTGACAGTAAGAGCTGTTCGACAGTGGAATTTGCTGCCAAGGAGTGTGGTGGAGTCTCCTTCTTTGGAGGTCTTTAAGCAGAGGCTTGACAACCATATGTCAGGAGTGCTCTGATGGTGTTTCCTGCTTGGCAGGGGGTTGGACTCGATGGCCCTTGTGGTCTCTTCCAACTCTATGATTCTATGATTCTATGACCTTCTGATCAGCAAGTCCTAGGCTCTGTGGTTTAACCCACAGCACCACCCACTTAAGGGTACTTAAGGCTTAAGTGCTTAAGGGTGATTATTTGTGGTGTCAGTGCAACTGTTATCTGGCTGCATGCTAATGCCTCTGCCTTCAAAGGGGGGTTTATTGGGGACCCACGTGGGCTTTTGACATTTGCTCACCGGGCTGAAGACTTCTTTTGATTTGGCAACCTAACCCACACGTGTCATTTTAACACGCATTTTCACATATTATGCAAGTTTTGCTTCTATTTTGATAAATTTGATAAATTGGCTTGCCTTCAGTATTTTTAATGAGCATTTTATATTTTATGTAAATATACATAAGAGGTATGTACGTTAGACATCATGGAGGATTAAGTCTTACACAACTCCTTTGAAATACAGAGAAAGCAGTAAGTAAAATCTTATTCAATGAACAAAGAGATAAAGATGAAGTTTATTGGACATTACATTTTTCTAATCAACAACCAGGAGACGTAAGCAAGCAAACCAACCACCAATCAACAAGGAGAGATCATAAAAGGATGTAGAGATGGGGTCCTTGCAGGAATATCCCCTTTCCTTTATCTGAAGGGTGTGTCTTCCTGACCCTGCCTTCTCAGGTGATGAGAAACGGGGACTCCATCCTAGAGTTTGTACTGACAGAGGTACGAACGAGCAGAGTTGCAGTTCTCATCGTTCCACTTCATGTATCCTGGAAAGCAAAAGAGAACCTGTGTCTCATGCTCCACTCTGAGATTTTCCAAGGTTTAATATTGTAATGGATGTCACTGAGATATTGCTAGGGATATCAGAGAACTCAAGCAAAAACGTGGTCAGTTTTTGCTGCTGCTGCTGCTGCTGCTTCCAAGTCCAGTGTGAAGGTAAACGCCATTTCTGTGCTCTGCTCTGGTTTGCCAGAAGCAGCTTAGTCATGCTGGTCACAGGACCCAGAAGCTGTCTGTGGAAAAACGCCGGCTCCAATCAGCCTATAGAGCTAGATGAGTGCACAACTCCAGAGTTGTCCACGACTGGGCCTAATGGTCAGACATACCTTTACCTTTACCCTGATGGTTAATAAGATTCAAAGAAATCTCTCCTTCTGCAAGCACACCCTCCATTCCTAGGAGGTCCCACAACTGGGCTGCTCAGTTCATTGCCCTCCCCCCGCTCTCGCCAACATGCCCACGTCACCCGGGCTCACCCACTGGTGGAGGAAGGGGGGTGCGGGGGGTGAGGTTCGCCCCGGGTGTCATTCTGGGGGGGGGGCGTGACATCACTCGCTGCCCCTGGAATACATGCCACTCACCACGCCCCCCCCACGAGCGCCACGCCCCCTGAGACGCGCACAAGCCACATCCCCACATGTGCGCTGCTCTGGGTGCCAGAGCAGGAAGCTCTCCCTCTGGGCTCACCTGTGTCAGCCCAGAGCTCGACGCAGTTCTCGTTGTTCTTGAGGTTGTTGGGTTCTCCAGCATTCCAGTTCTTGTAGCTGTTTGAAGACCGATCCGTCCACTGCCACTGCCGGTTCTGTGTGGACAGAAAAGCAGTTTGGTTGTCAGGGAAGAGAGCAAAGATGCCCAGACGAGGCTCTCGTTAGGCAGATGGGAGACCTGGAGTCTCCTTGCAGCAGCTGCTCACACTCTTTTTTACATATACGTATATATAATTAAATTTTCTGTTTTACAATTTAAAATACTCATTTTTACATCCTTAAGACGTCAATGGCTTCCCTTCTTCTCTTTCCACGGTTCATTCTGCAAATCATAAACCCCTGCATATTTTACAGAAACTGTACCATTCAGTATTCCATTATTGCATCCATCAAAACTTGTTTACACTGTTGAATTTATCTTAATGCTGCCAGCGTTTTCAGTTGTACAGTTATTTCCCATATATTCAATCAACGTTTTCCAATCTTCTCTAAACGTATGTCCTTCTTGTTCTCTTATTCTATATGTTAAGTCTGCAAGAGGCGCATATTCTGTCAACTTAAGTTCCCATTATTCTTTAGTTGGGACCACTTTCCGCTCCTTGGAGGAGAGGTGGAATACAAATGCAATAAATTAAATAGTAACCACTCGGCCATTGTGGCCGCAGTGCATTGTATTTTTAAAAGTTAAATTATTCTGCTACTAATAAATAGATATGAAAATGGTTCACAACAATGAAGAATCCCAATGAATTTCCAAATACCGTACTTTTCACTCTATAAGACACACTTTTTCATTCCTAAAAAGTAAGGGAAAATGTGTTTGCGTCTTATGGAGCGAATGCGGGCTGCGCAGCTATCCTAGAAGCCAGAACAGCGAGAGGGATCACTGCGCAGCACTCCCTCTCACTGTTCTAGCTTCTGGCTTAGTCGCACTCTCTCCCTTCCACCACCTCCCGCAAAAGCCAGCAAGAGCCACACTCCCTTTAAAGAGCGCGCAGAGCGTGTGGGGGCCTCTTGGGGGCTTTTCCCTGAGGAGGGAGAAGCCTGCAAGCGCCACACACATGCTCCACGCGGCTCGTGAAAGGGAGCGCTGAGCAGAGCCTGGGATGCATACATGCTCTGCTCAGTGCTCCCTTTAAAGAACATATTTTTCTTGCATCCCCCCTCTAAAAACTAGGTGCATCTTATGGTCACGTGCATCTTATGGAGTGAAAAATACAGACATTCTGGGGGTGGGGGCACCCTGCCCTCTTATTAAGTTCAGCATCTTTCTACAAGCCCCCCCCCCCCCGCAACCTGCAATGGAGTCCAAAAGCACCTTAGAAGCTAAAATAAGCCAGCAAACCCACCTTCAGGGGGTCACGCAGTCCAATCCAGACACGGCTTCCATCTTTGCGGTATTTAATGATGTACTTGGCCAGCTCGGCAGATTGTTCCGCGCTGTGGATGGAGGCCAGGTGGCCGCCGAGGAAGTAATCTTGGCAGGCAATCTGAGAGAGGGCAAGAGAAACGTCATTTTTACCCAAAGAGCAGGAAATCAGGGAGGATTCAGTAAAGGGCTGGGATGAGGGAACATGCATGGAAGCCCAAAGCATTTGCAGGTGGGAAAGAGGATCTTGGGCACTTTCGTGCCACCCCAAAACTCAGAGTAAGGCCTGAATGCTGGCGGCAGAGCTTGTTTTCCTGCCCTTTGTCTAAAATTGCGCGTATACCTAACTTGGGCACTGATGTCACGTGACCCGTTCCCCCCCACCCCTGCCAATAATAGTAATAACTCAGGTGGTTAGGAAGGCCCAACAGAGACTCCATTTCCTCAGGGTCTTACAAAAGAACAACGTTAAATGACAATTGATGACCTCCTTCTACCGGTCCACAATAGAAAGTGCCCTCTCATATTGTATCACAGTGGGGTACTTTGGTTTGACAGCCATGGACAGAAAGTCTCTACAGAGGGTGGTGAACACAGCGCATGATATCATGGGCTTTCCCTGAGCCCGCTAGATGACATTGCAAGCAATTGTTGCCTTAGGAGAGTGAGGAAAATTCTCAGGGATGATTCACACCCCGGCCAGCACCTCTTTAATCTTCTACCCTCGGGCAGGAGATATAGAAGTATAATCAGCTGTACCAACAGGCTAAAAAACGGGGACTTCCGGGTTAGTGCCTCCGGCAATGGCGGATTTCCTCTGATCGGGAGGAATCCGCTCTGTGGAAACTAGGGTCTGGACCGCCACGGCGAGGCGGAGACCCATTAAAAACCACAGGCGGGAGAAGCCTGTGGACGTGGGATTCGGCTGGCACCTTTCACGCCTCCCCTACTCGCGGGGAAACCTGGTTTCGGGGATCCGGAGCGACGTGGGGTGAGCGGCACGGTGCTTCGAATCGACTGCTTTTTCACAGAGTGAAGCCGCATTGCTGTTGCCGGAGAGCACTGACTTTTTCCTGTGGACAATTGAACTCTAAACAACTACCCGTGAGTAGAACGGAAAATTGGATCTCTAAACATTTTAATTTGGCATCAAAACGGGAAGGTTTCAAACAGGAAGTCCGCCTTCCTTTTTTGTAAATAGATCAAAGCAAAGACGTTGCAAGCTAAAGTCTGGAAAGTCTTTTGTAAAGCATTAAATCTCCATCGGCTAAAATTACTAAACCCCCTTGGAAGCAGGAGAAGAGGGGCGAAATTCTAGATTGTTTAAGCCTGCAGGAGAGAGAGTGAAGAAAGTTAAATCACCACCGTTTCGAACCTGGGAACGGGCTGCCAGTAAGATTGACGTTTTGGGAATGTTCATTGACTGTGAATAAAAACGTATGTTGACAGATAGTTAAATAAGAGAAATATATTGTTTCCATTGTTTCCTTTTGCACTTAAAAAGGAGCAAAAAAAGTAACTAATCGAAACTAATTCTGTTGCTGGATCTGCGTTTGATGGATACAAATAGAAATTGTTTCCCCTAGAGGGAGCTTTTGAAACTGTTGCAGGAGTGGAGCTGGGAATTTTCCAGCTGCAGAGATTAAAGAGTGTGAGAATCAGAGTTTGACCTTGGACAAGAATGTTGACAGAAGAAGCCTTAGTGATTGCATTTTGCAAGACAAGTGCTTTATTGGAACAGCTTCATGAGAAGACGGATGTGTGGATTAATAAAATTGACAATTTGGGACAAAAAATGACTGAGTTGGGACAACAAGGGAATATCTATACAGAAATTACTCAGGAATTGACCCAGGAATCTGTTTTGACATGGCAAGCTGTGGAGAAGACGAAGGAGAAAGTTGTTGTTGAACCTCAAGTAATTCAAGTGGAGAGAGCCCCGGCCTCTCAGAGGCAATTTGATGATCATAAGCTGTTGCCCTTTATGATCGAATCTAGAGAAAGCCAGATTTGGTGGGATGGCGCCCTGCTTGGATTGGAGAAGGAAAGTTGGATAGATCCTCCAATGCAGGGATGTTCTGGCCTTTGGGACTTGGATTTGGGTCAGGGGGAGAGTGGCGCTCTGAAATATCTTTTGGACTTTAGTTCTGACTATGGAGAATGGGCTGACCCGTCGAGAAGGAATAAAGACATTGTTAGGTTGGAGTTTCCCCGAGATCTACTCCTCAGTGCCAAAGGAGGGAAATTAAGAACAAGATCAGCATAAGATAAAGTAAAGTGCATGTATAAATATGAAGAAGATCTGCAGAAGGGACATGGAAGAGAGTTAAGAGCCTCGGACAGAAGGTCACCAATGGAATTGACAGAAAGGACTGACAGAATCCGAGACCAGGGAGAAGAGACGGTGGAAGAAGATTGGAAAAAAAGTTTTTAAAAAATTTATTTAGAGAAATGTTGCAAAATTAATGAGTGTTAGAAAAATGTTGGAATGAAATTATATGGCTTTAGTAGAAATGTTATAAGGAGTTAAGTACAAATAAGTTTTAGGGTTTTAATGGTAAGATAAGGTTAAAATAAATTAAGATAATTAAATGACAGAAAACAGTGAAAGATGGAAAGGATTTGCTGAAATAATTAATAACTAGAACACAAAAAGGGAGGTGTGAGGAGGTCGATGAAACAAGTTAATGAAAGATAAAAATATGGAAATTTTGGATGTGTTTTTAATTGTTTTTGCTTTTGTTTTTGTTTTGATGTATTGTGTCTTTTGCTTTTTTATATGTACTGTAATGTATTGATTTGTATTGTTTATTTTTTCTTTTTCTTTTTTACTTCTTTCTTTAATTCTTAAACTTTTAATAAATATTATTTTTTTTAAAAAAAACAAAACGGTTTCTATCCGTGGGCTGTTAGGCTGCTGAACAGAAAATAATAATATAGTGCAACTGACTTTTGGGGTTGGTGTGTTGTGCGACAAGCACACAGAGTGCCATGAGATTGAGTGTTTGTGTGGTGGGGCTCAGTTAATTTTAGTGTACACAGGTTGTACATTGACAATAAAGGTATTATTATGAAGAAGATATTTGTATTTATAGTGCTCTGTGTTTGGATGTTTTTAAGGTTTGCTGCAGGACGTTATGGGCTTGTTGTGCAAAACTGGCATATAAGTAAACTGATCAATCAATCCATCAGCTCTTGACCAAAGCCAAGAGGCCGCACTTACCTCTGCCTCAGCCCAGCTCACTTTATCGCTGAAGAGTTTGTAGCAATAGGAACCATATGGTAACCACTCCATGTGGCAGCAGGCGGCCTCAGCACCTGCTCAGGGAGTCAAAGGAAAAGCCCAGTAAGAAACTGGCCTGGGGTTGATTATCATTTATTTGTTTAGATATTTGCAATCCTCACTTTCTCATCTGTATCTAGGCAGCTCACGACACACAAAGCGGAACGAAATCAGTCCATAAATATCCATAAAATGTAACTAAAAACATAAAGGAAACATCTGCAGATAGCAGTTGGTTAAAAATGAGAAACAGCTGAGGGAATGGAACATGAATTGACCTTGTAAACACTGTGGTGAACTGAACAAAGTAAGATAGCAATTAAACGGCTCAGCACACAAGGTCTGAGAACAACATCTATGAAGGACTACCCAGGTGAAATGGGTTTTATATTTATGAGAAATAACAGAGGTGCTGTATGTAAGGAAAGAATTATGGTCAGCTGCAAGAATGGTCTAACATCAAGAGAAGGATTAAATGGTTATTAAAGAAGAGATGTCTTGGACTGCAAGACTATCAACCCTATCCATTCTGAAGGAAATCAGCCCTGAGTGCTCACTGGAAGGACAGATCCTGAAGCTGAGGCTCCAAGACTTTGGCCACCTCATGAGAAGAGAAGACTCCCTGGAAAAGACCCTGATGTTGGGAAAGATGAAGGGCAGAAGGAGAAGGGGACGACAGAGGACGAGATGGTGGGACAGTGTTCTTGAAGCTACCAACATGAGTTTGACCAACTGCAGGAGGCAGTGGAAGACAGGAGTGCCTGGCGTGCTCTGGTCCAGGGGGTCACGAAGAGGCGGACATGACTAAATAACTGAACAACAACAAAGAAGAGATGAAATGGCTACATGAGGAAGTGATGGACATATGTTTGCAACAGGAGCGGGAAACCTATTTTTTTCTAAGAAATTGTATTAAATTAAAGTAATTTGGTCTGGTCTGTAATAATTTGGAAAACCAATAAAAAAAATGAGAGAGGGAGAGAGAGGGAGGAGAAATTCACACTGGGAATGCCTGCCAAAGCAGCACAGTTTTCAGACGAAGGCAGGGGTGGTTCCTGACAAGCCTCTAATGGTAGGCAGTTCCACAGGGCAGAATATGCCACACCAAATACCCAGTCAGCCAGTGAAGGTCGACTGAACCTCGAGGGCCACATGGGGAATCACCAGAATCATCAAAGGACCCCACAGATCGAAGTGAAACATAAGGAATCAGTTCTTGAGGGTTGCAACGTTGGCGTAATACAGGAAGGAGGGGTGTCCGTGGAATGACACCCAGGTTTGCACAAAGCAGGCGGGTGTGAGAAGCAGGTGGAGGAGACGGGAAAGTGGTGCAGGGAAACCAGCGAAGAATCCTGTGGGGACAGAAGAGCAGAGAATTTCTTCCAGTTTAATAATTTCATCCAAGGACATGGATGTTTGAAGAGAGAGCAAGGTTTTAGGAATGCTAGAAACTTGCCCTTTCAAAAGAAATGATCGTTGGAGTGGATGGGGCCACCTCAGATATGAGGCAAATGTTCCAGGTGCCATTCTTCTCGTTTTTTGTGTGAGAAACTGGCCTGCTCCCCCCTCTCCATGTTTTGAGAGGGAAATCCCTGCAGATGCCTGTGCCCACAGATTTCTTTCTGTGGAAGCACATAATTGGTGGTGGCTGTGCAGAGACAGTTCAACAGCACGAGATTTTCTGGAATGATCTCGTGAATCATTTGGGAGATGGCAAAATCTTCCTTCTTGGACTTTCCCAGAATCATCAGGCTGATGTAAGGCTTTCTATGCCTATAGCTGTGGGAATAATAATCCAGAAACGTTTATGCACACCACAACTGTGCTTAACTGGAGTTGGAGAGGCAAATCTGCACTTCCCAAACTGGCATGACAGACCTGAATGTTTGTTTGTTTGTTTGTTTGTTTGTTTGTTGCATTTCTATCCCACCTTTTCCTCAAGGAGCCCAAGGTTCCTCCTTAGCTCTGTCTGGAAGGAAGGAACTCACCTCTCAAGAAAGGAGCAGCAATTAGGAAGCTGAGACCAAAGAAAGCCAAACGCCCCATCTTTAGTTTTCCTGCCTTTTCTGTGGGGAGAAAAAGAGTAAAGGTAAAGGACCCCTGGACGGTTAAGTCCAGACAAAGGCGACTATGGGGTTGCTGCTCTCATCTCGCTTTCAGGCTGAGGGAGCCAGCGTTTGTGTGCTGGACCCAGGGGGGGGGTTACCGTGAGGCGTGGTCAAAGTCCGGTCCTGGGCCGAGGGTCTGGAGACTGTCCACCAAGGGGGAAGCTGCGTTCAAAGCAAAAAGCCGGGCATGGTCGGGAACTCCAGAAAGACAGGTCTGGGTGCTGGCAGAAACAGGTTTCCAACGTCGTTGCACCCGCAACCTGGGACCGGGCTGACTGGCCTTTATCTTCTCTGAGGCCAGGGGCAGTCCTGGCCCACAGGTGACCCGCATCTCCTGGCCTTAAGGCGAGCACTCCTCCTGAGAGAATCCAGTTCCCTCCGCCTCTCTGCCCTGAGCCTCTGCAGCTCAGGAGAGGCTGGAGGGTTACTGGACCCAGGTGGAGGCTCACCTTCCCCTGACAGGGCTGGGAGAGGTGCACCTGTAGGCAATGGGTCCTCAATCACCTCCGGAGCCAGAGTGGATTCATCTGGTGTCTGCTCCTGAGGATCCAGCACAGGTGCAGGCGCTTCAGATTCAAGGCCCTGCCCCAGCTCAGCCGGCCCTGGAGGCGGGGACTCCTGTGCAGGCTGGGATTCCTCCGGTTCAGCCTCTGAATCAGATTCCCAGGCTATCACAGTTTGTCCACAGATAGCTTTCCGGGTCATGTGGCCAGCAGGACTAAACTGCTTCTGGCACTATGGGACACCATGACGGAAACCAGAGCGCATGGAAACGTTGTTTACCTTCCCACCACAATGGTACCTATTTATCTACTTGCACTGGTGTGATTTCGAACTGCTAGGTTGGCAGGAGCTGGGACAGAGCAACGGGAGCTCACTCCATCGTGGGGATTCGAACTGCCACCTTCTGATCGGCAAGCCCAAGAGGCTCTGTGGTTTAGACCACAGCACCACCCGTGTCCCGCGTCAAGGAGAAAGAGGAGATGGGGCTGAGAGAGGCGATTGGTGCCCAACATTTGGAATTCAATT